TTCAAACGCGCCTTTTGTTTTACTCTGGAGTGTTGTCATTCCGGCTCCAGATTTTCCACAGCGGCAGGTGGTCAGGGGTCAGCGGAGCGTACCGGAGATCTGTTGGAGCTTGTGGTCATTACCCAGACTCATTTATCCATCTATTGACCAGAACCTCTGCCCTGACCTCCTCTTTGTTCTCTCCTCCAGCCCCACACTTTCCCTGTCATAAATATTTATGCGACTGCACTAAATTACAATTTGATGGATTCTTTTGACTGGGTTACTTTAAAACATGTGCCCGATTTGTATACATTCACAGCGAAAGGAAATCTGTACACTTCATTATGTTTGAAAATCTTGACTCTTAACATAGACGTCCATGTGGTTCTGGTTAGTACACTCTACTGGGTCAGGACCTTCTTTGGATTTTGTCTTTGATGCAGGTTTTTGGGGATAGGGGAACCAGAGGCCATCAGTAGGGCTGGGTATACCTTTCAGAGCCTGCCGATAAAATACAGGGAGCTTTCGTTTCAAAATGATTTTCTCTGACGTACTTTCTGGACTATAAGGCGAACCTGTATATAAGCCGCACCACATAGATTTGAATAGAAAATCAATGTTGTCCACATTAGGGGTGTGACAATATATCAATATATCGCAATACTTTCTCCCGCGATTCGATTATCGATATGCATTTGCCAAGTATCAATAACGATTTAGAATTTTGTGGAGTCAAAATAATAAGTCCATAAAATCTACCACAATAAAAATACATATTAGCTGCATTGCTATACAAGCTGCAGGGTTCAAGAAACTAGCAACAAGTCTTGGAGATTACAATAAATCAAAATATCTACTTTAAGTGAGTTTTTCCATAAAAAATCTAGACAAAAATTTAAATAAAATGTGTGATGTTACTGAATACAAAAATGTATATTGTATCTAATTTAAGAAATCAATATTTCAAGGTTGAAGATTAGTTTATCATGTCCCGAAGGAAATGTATCTCGGACTCACAGGCTGCTACATCGGAAGTACATACAGGACAGAGAAAACGGTAACACAGACATAAACCATCAGCTCCATGACCTGCAGTCATTCAGAAGGTCGAGATATCGGGAGGATCCAGTTTTGGAATCTTCTCTTATTTTTTGTTTAGACTCGGTTGGGAGAAGCTCATACTGGGAGTAGAGAACATGTGAGGGGTCTGAGATGATTTTCTATGTCTGTCTATAACAGTCTCCTCAAATATCTGTGATGCAAGCTGTTATACGCACTTATCAAAACAGTTCTTATCTTGTAATTAGTCAAATTGACAAACCCCGGCACACATACCATATCTTACTATAATATATTTATCTAAACAAGAAATTGGCGCACCCCAGAGGCAAGATTTCCTTGTCTCTTGCTACAATCTTAAACATGTTAAACTTGTTATTGGGATGATTGAGTGTTGGCTCAAGAAGATGTGAAACTGGATTTGTATGACTCTAAAAAAACTACTTAAAGAGCAAATTGTAAGCTTTTCAAATATGTTTCTAACGGCAAACTATCCAAAAACATCTTTCGAACTTTTTATACTACTTGGAATAAGAAGAAGAAAACATACTGTTAAATAAGACAGAACCCAAGTCAAGCTCATTTATACAAGTGAATCAGTGGATCTGCACTGGTTCCCATTGAAGTGAAGCAGAGCAGCTTGTGTGGTTTCTGTGTAGAGTGACAAACCACCAGTTGTCTCATACTATAAACTATGTAACTCATCACAATCACAGTCAGTCATCCCCTGCCCATTGTGTAAGATCATTCAACAGGTGTTGTACCCTTGGCTTACTTTGTCGACAAAACCACAACATTTTACCTTTATTTCACATACAATTGCGCCTTGTTCCATGCACTGTGTTTTTTTTCCCAATAGTAAAATTCAAAAATTACAAGTAACATCATGCCTGTATTTTTTTATAGACAATAAAAAAAAATCAAAAATGAAAACAACATGCTCTTTGAGGATACACTTGTTATGTTGGTATGTTACGCATTTGTAGTTTTACATATTTTGGAAAAGGCTGCCGTGTTTCAAATGTTGTGATCAAGCCCCTTAACGTACACCTCAGTTTTTCAATCATGTAAAATACACATAATCTCATTTATCATTGGCCATGCGTCGGTGTCTCTTGTTTCCACTTTAAGAGAATCCGGCGCCGTACCATCAAAGAGGCAAAGGCTTTTGACTGAGCGTTCAATTTTAGTTCATTTCAATACCATTTATTCTTGTATGGCCCAAAATCATAACAGTACTTAAGAAATGCAAAGATCAAAAAACCCATAGAGCTCTTATGGACCAATGACCAATGTCCATAAATTATGATAAATGTCCATGAATGTTGTTGAATGTTGAATTGAGTGTCCTGGATCTTAGTTTGATTAGTAAGTCTTGAGTCACTCCTTCGACAGGGGATATTTAAGAGGTCATCATCTCGTGCACAAAGCCCCATTAGAAGAGGAATAAAGTGGGATTATCTTTGTGTTTTCATTCGCCTTTCTCACATTCTCATTCAACGTCCTCCTATTCCCCCGGCCGGCTGCGAGTGATGGACTGGGGGTTATTTGAGAGTCTCAGCGCGGGGGTCTGGCTGTCATCAGGGTCTGAGCCAGCTGATGTCATCCTCGCTGGGGGTGCGGGGGAGTGGAGGTTAGGTGTTAGTGGGGCTTGCTTTTGGAAATGGCTGTGAGAATATGAGCTGAGCAGAGAAAAACAATGACGATAAAGCAGTTGTGATAGTTATGTTGATTATGTAGTGAATTAAAGCAGGGGTACCTAGAATGTCAGTCTCATAGTTTGTTTTAATATGCTAAAGCTAAGGATGTTATGCTAGCTTCTTTATTATGCATAAACTAGAGATTTTATTTTATTTTTGAATAGAGTTTTTGTGTGCTCCTCATTCCTACTGTCCTGTAACTTGTGCGGTAACACTGATATCTTAGTCTAAATCAACACGTTTATTGAAATTTGGACAAATCCGACCACAACATGCTTCTATACCTTATTAAAAAACCTGTATCTTTTGCGTGGATCGACAGAGAGCCCTTTGTCGTCCTTCAAGGTAAATTCATTTCCACAGACTCTGTCACAGACATGGAACACAGACTTAGTAATTGCAAGAAAGAACCCTGTGTGTCATCATTTTATACTTTGGCCTGGGATAAGATTGTGTGGTACTGTTTTTGTTTAGAAGAAGCTGATGTGAAAAAAACAATGGTTGAGATAATTACTTTGTCGCAGCTTTAAGAGGTGATGCTTTTGATAGATCAATCCGTATCAATATACTGTGTGACAATAACTTGGATAAATCCGCCCATTCCTCTACAACGTTGGCCACTTAAGTGTTCACCACAGCTGTATTGTGATTTGAAGTCTCCCATGGACTTGTAAGAACTGTGTTGATTGCAGTGCAGAGTTGGCTTGCGCTTGTATTTTTGTACTTTTTTATCATAAGCATCTGTGTGTGTTCCGTTGGCAGAACAAAACAGTTTAACTTGACGTGAAGTAAAAGTAGTCATGGTTTCCAATAGTGTTCCTCAGTTTAGCCAGATGTCTCAACTGTCAAAGTGTGACGCAATAATAAGTCCCTGCAGCGAAGGTTCCCCCTCTCTCTGGAACTCTCTCTGGAACACTCTCTGGAACACTCTCTGGAACACTCTCTGGAACTCTCTCTGGAACTCTCTCTGGAACTCTCTCTGGAACACTCTCTGGAACTCTCTCTGGAACTCTCTCTGGAACTCTCTCTGGAACTCTCTCTGGAACTCTCTACGGAACTCTCTCTGGAAACTCTCTCTGGAACTCTCTCTGGAACTCTCTCTGGAACACTCTCAGGAACTCTCTCTGGAACTCTCTCTGGAACTCTCTCTGGAACTCTCTCTGGAACTCTCTCTGGAACTCTCTCCGGAACTCTCTCCGGAACTCTCTCCGGAACTCTCTCCGGAACTCTCTACGGAACTCTCTCTGGAACTCTCTCTGTAAACTCTCTCTGGAACTCTTCTGGAACTTTCTCCCACAACAAGAACTCGGCCTCACTTCAGAACTTCAAATCCATTCAACTCTGTTCAAAACTACCTACTCTTAACTGTTTCATTTAGCTTTCTTAGTAAACTTTCCCTTTGTCTAGTCTTCAAGTGTCCAAGAAAGCGCTATATAAGTATGATTTATAATTATTATTATCCAGCAGCAGAAATCTCGGCCATGTCTGTTGTACAGTCTGACAGCCGAAGGAACAAAGGATCTCTTAAAATGTTTCGTTCGGCAGCACAGTGATATAAGCAATGATAATAGGCCCTGTAACTACTGAAACATTTATCGTTGTTCTATTACTATTACCAAATTTCTTTTTGGCCATACCTGCATGTGACAGCAAGATCCCGTCAGACCTCTGAAGCTAAGCAGGGCAGGGCCTAGTTAGTTCTGTGAAGGGAGACCTCTGGGAACACCAGGTGACACAGTGGGGCGGCTGTAAAGTGCCAAAATGTCATTATTCATAGGCAAGACACTTCACCCACATTGTCTAGAATGAGTCTGGTGTGTGTGTGAATGGTTGGTGGTGGTGAGAGGGGCCGATGGTACAAACTGGTTGCCTCGCTTCAGTCAGTGTGTCCATGGGCAGGTGTGGCTACATTAGACGTTGTGTTTTGAGTGAATGAATAATGACATGTGAAGTGTCTTTGAGTGTCCAAAAAAGCGCTATATAAAACCAATGGATTATTATTTTCACTTGTCATCAAATTGTGTGGGAGATCCAACATCACTGATGTAAAATCTAAGTATGAGTCTGAGAAGAGCCAAAGCATTCCTGGCAGGTTGTCATTTTGAAACTCCACTCTCCCAATGTGACCCACTAATGATATCTCTGCTTTGATTCGCAGTGCTGGGATGACTTGGATAGAGTGAGACACCGCTGTCAGAGAGGATCTACGGAAAGTTTCTTGTACAACGACTCAACGCTGAAAAGTTGTGCGTCGCAGTAATGGATGGAATAGACACCTTGCAAAGCTCGGCCCTGGAGACCAAGGCCGAACGAATCGCCCGCTACAAGGAGGAGAGGAGGAGAGAGCTAGCCAAGCGCTACGGTAACATGGAGGAGTTCACCCCCAGATACGTGCGGCGGGACAAGAAAATAAGCGACTCGACAGAAACCGATATAAAGGAAACTCCTGACGACGTTACAGAACACACCTACACCAGAAGAGCCAATAAAACCTCATCAGAGCCATTGGTAAAGAATGATGTGGAGGAGAAAACCGAAGTTCTGTCCTCCTCGACTATAAAACTGTCTTCGAGGTGAGTTCACTGTGCATTTGAAACTAAAGACCTCTCATGAAGCCCATTCTGTAAAGTTGAACAATGAGTCCCTCTTGAGTAGTACAGTAAACTTGCCCGGACCTGAAGCACTAAGACACACTAGAGTCCTCAGGTTAACATTCAAACAGGAATTTGCATGGCTTTAGGTAACACGAGTCCACTGGCTGCAGACGTTGGCAATCGTGATCACACTATTCAGTAACAAGTGAGAAGAATAGACAGAAGTACTTTTCATATCTAGTGCCATGTGATTTTTTTTTTTTTCTCGCAAGCTTTAGGAGGAGAGAGTGAGAGACATTTAAAAGGACTTTGTGTGCGTAGCTGTGGATTGAGCTTACAAAGATGAGATGCTGAGATTTGAATAATTGTGTGTAACCAATCCCTCAAGAGTAGGAGTAGGAGGAAGAGTAAGAGGAGTAGGACTAGTAGATGTAATAGTTGCAGTAGTAATGTAGTAGCAGTAGCAGTGTATATAATAGTGTCTTGTGTATATTACAGAACAGATTTTGCTGAGCTGTGTCAAAAGACATGTCCAAAACATTGTCTTTAGCACCTTTTTGAGATTTCATAACCGTCCATTTTCACTTCACAAAGTAGCAGATGCCAGAGCTGGTGCATACTTTATAATCTGACAGTGGTTGGAATGAGCTGGCCGCCTGCCCGCTCATTTGGGGAACATTTACTGACTTTTTTTTTTTTTTCACAGTTTGCTGTAAACACTATACACTCTGACATTCCCTAACTTGGCCATGTGCGCAAAGTCACGTTTATTTTGCCCTGAAGTTACTTTCTGTTGTGATAACACGTCGTTGGTTCTGCCTGGAGTCAACACTTGGCTCTAAGAGGGTGGACTGCAAAATACTTTTTACCATTTCGTAACACACTTTCAATGCATTTCTCTACGTGATTGTCACAATAAGAGCCAATATTTATATTTATTTATTTTTAGATATCGGCCTTAACTTTTTTCCCATACTACCAATATGCTTCCATGGTATACTGTACATTTAGAACTAGGTATAACTTTCACTAAAATATACACCATTTTGTCTGCTCCTTATTTTGCTAAAGTAATGTCAGGGATTTTTATACTTAAGTCTTGCTTCTTCATCAAGTTAGAGATTTTAGACTTCTTTTCTTATCATGCTAAAGATCAAGATTTTTATAATGCTTATTTTTATGCTAGAGTTAAAGATTTTATTTTAGTATAGATTTATTATTTTTTGATCTTGTGCTTCGTGCTCCTCATTCCTACTTTCTGTAACTTGTGAATGATGCACTGGCACTTCCCGACTGTGGGCTGAATACAGAATCTCTTATTCTATACCTAATTTTAAATCCATGAACCCAACATACAAGTAGTAACATTAAATAATAACAAAAAAGAAGTTTCTGACCCACAATGGGGATAATGTGCACATTTGAGGGCAGTAGAAATCAAAGCACTCAGAATGATGATAGTCTATAATCTAACATAATGAATTGAAGAGACTGTCGTCCAATACTACTTTTTTACAGTTTCTTACCATTTCATGAAGCTATTTCAATGCATTTCTCTACATGATTGCGTATGTCTGTGGCCGTGGTCTTTTGCAACTCTTCTATTTTTTTCTCTTTTCGGGCGTACATAACAAACATGCCTGTTCCTGAGCAACCCTGAGGGCAACAAGGGCTGTCAATCAGATTAACAGAGAAATATTGTGCATTCAACTTTACTAGTTCATACAAAGTGTTAAATGAAAATAATAATCAGGGTTTTTTAAGTTTTATTTAGATGATGTGATGATGTCAGATCTGATATTATTTGACTTTGATGAAAATGCAGAGAGGAATACCACAGCCATAGTAAGTAGATAAGTGTACAAAAACAGTGACGCAGTTTCTGGAATGCTTTTTATGATGGTTTCTAATCTTGTGTCAGACAATGACACACTTATTGCTTTGTGTCACTGTCCGTCAACGTCAACAAAACATTTGAAGGAACTGTGAAACCAAAAGTGTGAAACATTTGAAAATGTTTTTTTTTGCTTGTGTGCTTGTCTTTCTGATTGGTCTGTTTTCTTTGAGTAATGAGTAATGTGCTTGCGTGTGTGTGTGTGTGTGTGTGTGTGCTTTAATGTGTGCATGTGTGTGTGTATGTGTGCATGTGTGTGCGTACGTGTATGTGCTCATATGCGTGTGTGTGCATGTGCGAATGCGTACATGTGTGCTTTTGTGTGTGTGTGTGCTAATATGTGTGTGTACATGTGTAAGAAACAGTGAAACCAAAAGTGTGACACATTTGAAAATGTTTTTGTTTGCTCTGCCTTCTGATTGGTTTTCTTTGTCTGTGTGTGTGTGTGTGCGTGGTCTTGTGTCTGAAATGGAACAGGGGAAGCACAGTTGTCTGAAGATAATGAAAAGTGTCAGTCAGCTGTGTATAACTGGCAGGACTCCTTTGCTTGTGGACTGTTGCGTAGCTGCATTCCTCACACTGAGCGCACTCTGACAACATGAACTGTAACCTCCCACACAACGGCCTCAAACCACTCACTAAAACTATTACTGGCAGTTAACTTACAATTAGTTCAGTGCCACAAATTAGAGCCGATATTTAACGTTTTTAAAATTTCAGCCTTGGCATCATGTTTTCTCCTCCGTCCCATCTTAAAATAATCCGTGTCCATAAATGTGTAATAACCTCTATTCGTCCCTAACCTCTCCAACTTTGTTCTATTTATTTAAGTTTTAAAAGACTAACACTTATTCCAGAATGTGAGGTGAGATATTTGTTAATATGATGCTGATTCAGGAAAAAAAATTGGTAGTGACTCTTCCAAAACGGTTTGGCCGAAGTCTGCTTGGTCTTAAAATATGTTCTGGTGATTTTATTGGTCTTTGTTGGCCCAGAATATCTAATAGAACTGCACTCTGTCGTTAGTTAGAGATTTAATTAACAGATACACAACTAGGGCTGAAACTAACATTGTATATTTTGTATAATTAATCTTTGTATTATACAGAGGGGGAGGGTCCCGACCATAGACTGTATATATTAACGGACAGAGTCACGCCTATCTCCGCCGTTCATAGGAGTTGGCCAATGAAAAGTGCTTTCATGGAGCAATCCAAGATGGCCGCGAGTGGTCCCGCCCACAAGAAAATTGTGAAAAAACGCATCTGCGCATGCTTCAGCTGGCGCAGCTCCATTCATTTGAACAAGAGACTTCAAAAATTCCCCGCGAGTAAACTAGAGTGGACCAAAAAAATCCACCCCCCTCAGCATTGACACACATGTGGAACGGAGCTTTGGGCCAAGAGCCAACTTTTGGACCATTCTGTAAAGACGTTTTTGAGAGGTCTGCCAACGCTATATGTTAGCATTGGCTAATTCTACTTCTGGGTCCACCCCCATCGGCCCGGGGTGGTATTGCAAGCATGTCAGCGCACGTCATTTTGGCCACTTTTGAGCTGGGACCCTCCCCCACTGGTCCCGACTCAAAAAGGTTGGTGGGGGTGTACCCGGAATAAGAATGACCCAATGCTTTTGTAAGGCATCTTCTTTCCTCCCGAAAGCGGCTTTACAGAATGGTCCAAAAGTCGCTCTTGGCCCAACCATGTGCCAAGGCTAAGGGGAGTATTTTTTTCTGGGCCAGTCTAGTCTAGCCATCTATGGTATTATACCTTGTGATATACTGTAGATTATAAATTGCGATATTATATCCCAGTTTGACCCATATAAAGCTGAAGTGAAGAAATTCTTGATAAATAAGTTTTTGCTGAAGACATTTACACTTACTATTTGTTTAAGCCTTAAAATCACATTTCTCAGCACATTCTGTGCATAGAGCAGTTTACAATTAATGGAAAACTCGATTAGTTGTGTAGAATCAATTAACTGCTCTATCCACAACATATGATTTAATTTACTTTTGGCAACTTTACGAAAAGCCAAGTCCTAAGAAAATACAATAAAGGGAATGAAGATTGACAGAATATTTGATCGAAGTTGATATTGTGGTATACATGTGTTGTATGTAAAACTACCTTCTACCATTTAAAATAACACAACAGCATTATGGCCTGATTAACCCTGATGACGTCTCCTGTTCTTGTATCTTTGGTGTCAAAAGGTGGCCAGGATTTGGGTTGAAACTGTGAGCTTTGGTAATGACTGTTTACATGGCTCAGTGTCACAAAGGCTGGTGTGGAGCTCGCAAATTAGAGGTAGCAGCTTTTTAATCTGGCAACCGCACGTAAGCCAAGACTGCATCCTGTCTGCTCCGTCTGCGTCGTCTCCATTTCCTCCGTTCATTTCGCACAATAGCGTTTCAGAATGGAGGAAAAGGCTCGTTCTCTGAGTATGTGGCTTTTCTGAGTCGTTCTGGTCGTCGTTTCCTCTGTGTTTTATGGCAGAATGTGGGCCTGGCTTCACCTTAGTGCGGTGTGGGTGGAGTTTGATGAAGTGTCCCTGAGCCGTGTGGTTTATTGTTGCGGTGATTCGAAATGAAAACTAGGTGGCATTGTCGGACGAGGCTGCCAAAAACTAGACTTTGATCTTGGTGCCGGGCAGAACAATGACTTGCACATGTGGTTCCAGTCCAGCATGTTGCAGGACTGTCATTCTCATATTGTGTTGCACCTTCAGCTAAATTGGGATTTCCCATCATGCACCAAACACTATTTTCAGTTTAAAGGCCATTCACACTCAATAAATATTTTGTCTAAGATTTTACGACTTGTGGCATTTACCACCGCTGTGTAAGAAAGTCTATGGCTAAACCAGACTAAACAGTTGACCAATCCCAAGACTAAAATATACCACGAGAGGGAGGCAATAGCTTTTCATGTTTAACCTGTGCATTTATGTGGTCTACATTTTAAGGATTATCCATCCATCCATCCATTTTCTTCCCCTTAATCCATTTCTGGGTCGGGGGGGTGGCAGTCAGAGCTGCACCCAGTACACAGAGCACCAGCCCCTCACTGATCCTCCTGCAGGTGGTGAGTCCACAGGAGCTGAGATCTTTCAGCAGGGGCTTCAGGCAAAGTGGGGTTAAGTGTCTTGCCCAAGGACACAACGACAGCAGTCATCAGTGGGAGTCGTGAAGTAGGTCTTAAGGTGGGCTCGAACCCACGACCTTCAGGCCCAAAGGCCAATGCTCTACCAACTGAGCTACTCTCGCCCCTTTTTAAGGATTAATCAATGATTTATAAAAAACATTTTTTGTCTTCTTTTTTTCTATTTTTCTATATTTTTTTGTTCTGTTTTTGTCTGTTAAATTCATATTTATGTTCACCTTTTGATTAAAACTGTAAATTAAAAAAATATCAATAACTAAAACAGTAATTTATGTAAAAATATAAAACAAAATATACAATGACAAGATACTTTGAAGGTCATGAAGAAACATTTTATATATATTCATATTTAAGCTTTTTAGTGAGACAGCACTGTAAACCTGTGCTCACCAACACAGGCTGATTTAATGACTGAACTTGACTAGATAATTAATAGATTTTATTTGAAATATAATAAAATTAATAGTAATGCCTTGAACTTGTAAAGTGCTTCACAGACTTGCAGAAGTCTCCACAAACTCAGTCCTTACTGGACTATTGAATTCAATTTATAATACAAAACAATACAATTTATTCTTGTATAGCCCTAAATCACAACGGAAGTAATCTCAGAGACTTAACAAAACCATTGAAATCACCAACACAGATCAGAGAATCAACAGTTAAAACACATAAAGAATGTAGATATATATTGATAAATGTCATACATAGAATGTTGTAGAATGTGAAAGTGTCCTGGATCATCACCACAGTCCTTCTAGTTGGACACTAACTGCCCAACAGACCCTCCTGCATCGGCAAGGAAAAACTCATATTTATTTTGGTGTGTCCATAAATATCTGAGATCCTCTCTTGTCCTCTTACCCAGGGGTATTCAAACTTTTTAGTAACAGGGCCACTTTAGTTCAGCAGATTTGTCCAGGGGCCGACCACACGGATCGACTGGATTCAGGCCATATAATTACACTCAGGGCCGCAGTTGGCCCTTGGGCCTTAGTTTGGCCTTTGACCTCCTGCATTTATGAACAACTTGCAGTAAAACCATTTTAACATAAACTGCAGCAGCAGCTTAGTTGTAACTAAAAGCCATATTTAACTGTCTTTCACTATTTTCGTGTTCCCAGCTTTTTGTCTGAGACTGGTGATTTCAATAAAACTTCCCTCTACTTGACTGGGGATTACAGGGGAACGAAACAAGCTTGAAACAAAATTCTCTTTGCTAATGAAAGTAGACAGTCCATTCTTTCAAAAGAATATCAGATAGGCATAGTACACAATATTCTGTGGGTAAAATAAAATCTGTAACTTTAGCATAATAAATAACTAGTGAAACAAATGAAACCTTGCTAAAAAGAAAGTCTAAAATCTCTATTATATTATATTATTATTATTATTATATTATGTTCTGTGTATTAGTTACTGTTTATCACTTCTGCTGGTCTCCCCTGACCTCCGACCCCTCCAGCTGTCCTCCATGATGCACTATTGTATTAAAAGCAGCTCTCCTCTCCTCCTCCTCCTCCCATTACATCACAGCTCTTACCCCATGGGCAGCTGCTCTCCCCCACTTCATATTGAACCACTCTTTAAGACGTTAGGTTTGTTATATTTGTTCAGTCAGCATGGCAGAGCAGGACCAGCATGCTCCAGTGCGGTAGGTATGGGCTGCCTCTCACTCTCTGCAGTATTTTTTTGTGGATTTGGACTTGACGCTGGAGTGTTTGGGAGAATGACCTCATGTGTGTCTTTCTCTTCAGGCTGCGAGAAGCGGAGGACTCGGAAGAACAGCCACAGGGTGAGTGTATGATCTCTCACTTTCACTCGCTGCGTTTGATCCTCGCCGCTGACGTTACTCTCTTCGCCACTGAGCTCATGCTGAGGTCAGAACCAGGGATGGGCTGTTTCATTCAGCAGATACTGATGCCTGTTGTTCGCCCTGTTGTGCTCCCTGATATCTGATAGCTTCCCCCCCTGATTATACATGGAAATAGTACCGACAAATGCAGATTTATTTTCTTCATTTGATTGTTTAAAATGGTCTTGTCCAACACCGATAAATGTTATATTGGCTTATACTGTTATTGGTATTCAGTAGTCCAGTGTTTCTCAATCAGTGGACCATGGCTCGTTAGTGTGCCTTGAGATGTTGTCTGGTGGGCCTTTGGAAATGATCCAATAACCTCTGATTGGTCAAAAAGTGTGGGGGAAAAAATGTGAAAATATTAGAAAAATCTTTAATGCTTCTTTGATTTTCAACATTGTACACTTTGATGAGAAATAAAATAATAATTCAATTCAAATAATTGTATCTATCCGTGAGGAAATTCATTTGCAGACGGAGCATAAAAATACAGATATAGATATAAAATACAGTAAAAAATCCATAAAACAGGTCATAATCTGCTTCAGCCAAAACACCCATTATCTGTTTGAAAGGCAGATTGAGGAGGAGGGGAGGACACCTAATAAATGCAGTTTCAGGTTTACGTCAGTCTCAGCTGGTGGTGTGCCATGTGGTTTATGGTGTGCCACAGCTCTAAAGGTTGGGGGATGCTGCAGTGGGCAATGCCAATATCCAAAGGTTAACATTTGTATAGCACAATTCATACACAAGGCAACTCAAAGTGCTGAACAAAACAATATAGAAGTAGTCACACAAGGCATTAACATCATAAATAATCACAGTACACAGTGCATAAAAAGAAAAATATAAAGTCCCTCAGTTGTATGCACAGCTAAACAGAACTGTTTTTAACCTGGATTTGAACATTGTCAGAGAAGAAGTCTGTCTCACACTTTTAGGAAGATTGTTCCAGATTTTAGCATCATGAATCTGAGATGCAGCCTCCCCATGTTTAGTTCTTACTCTGGGCACTAACAGGAGGCCAGTCCCTGTGCTCCTCAGAGTCCGGGACTAACATGTCACTTATGTACTTTGGTGCGAGGCCATGGAGAGACTTGTAACAAGCAGAGCTGTTTTAAAGTCTATTCTCTGAGCCACAGGAAGCCAGTGCAGAGACCTGAGGACTGGACTAATGTGGTCGTACTTCCTGGTTCTAGTCAGGACTCGAGCTGCTGCATTTTGAATGTACTGCAGCTGTTTTACAGCCTGTTTGGACAGACCTGTGAGCAGGCCATTGCAGTAGTCTTACCTACTGGAGACAAATGCATGGATAAGAATCTCCAAGTCTGCTTTAGACACTATGTTTTTGATCCTGGCAATGTTTTTTAGATGGTAAAAAGCTGCTGATGTTACTGATTTGATGTGGCTATTAAAATTCAAGTCTGAGTCCAGTATAATTCCTAGATTTCTGACCTTGTTTGAAGCTTTTAGGGAGAGGGACTGTAGGTGACAGATGACGCTCTCTCTTTGTTTCTGGAGACCAAAGACAATCTTTGGTTTTGGCTGTAGTTAGCTGGAGGAAGTTGTTTTGCATCCACTCACTGATCTGTTGGATACAGTGAAGGAGTGAGTCCACTGGTCCATGTTCTCCTGCAGTCAGTGAGACATAGATCTGAGTGTCGTCTGCATAGTTGTGATAGGACACTTTGTTTCTGCGTATTAACTGACCTAACGGCAGCATGTACAGATTGTACGGAAGAGGTCCCAGGATCGACCCCTGTGGTACTCCACAGGTCAGGGCCATATGATCTGAGACACAGTTTCCAATCTCCACAAAGTACTTCCTGTCTTCAAGGTAAGACCTAAACCAACTTAGGGCGGTGCCAGCGACTCCAACCCAGTCCTCTAGTCTCTGTAAGAGGATCTCATGGTCGCCAGTGTCAAAAGCTGCACTCTGCATCTAACAAGATTAAGATAACATACATACATTTACAGAGCCATAAGGATAAGAATCCGTTCTATAAATTGTATGAATGACATTGAACCAATTTTATAGTGTAGGTGCATTATCACAATAGCACAATACTTTTCTTTAGTCAATGGTTAGTTGTAAATATACTTTTTCCTATAATACCAATAATTCTTTCTACAATATATTTTACCTGCAAGCAAAACGATGACTCCAACAGTTTCAATCCTGTCCTCCAGAGTCTGCTCTCTCTGTGCTTCTTCCATTATCTCCCAAACATAAACAACACACTGTACTGAGCGCCGGAGCCTGGAGCTTATATCTCGCCGCACAAGTGGAGGCACTTTGTCAAGTTTGAAGAAGAAGCTTTTGTCAAATGCATGTGCTGTGGGTTAGATGACATCACTCACGTCACATTACTCATGTGCTTTATGCTTATGCCTCATTAAAGATTGTAAGAAGGACGTTTACAGACTTGGCAGTGGCACATCTGCCCTCATTTCCAAATTCCACATAACATGACTATATTTTTTGCCAATTTTCCGTAATGTCGCAATAAAAATCATTAAGAAATACGGCCTGTGCCTGGAGGACGTTATAGAATTGTGGAATTATGCAAAAGAAATGAGGGAAAGTTTATATACTTGTCCTTTTCTTATTTTAATTATAATATATTGTCTTAAGTGCAGAATGTATGTTGACAGCTCATTTTAAAGGGACATACCTTCATCTGTATGTTCATATGTAGGGGTGCGATGCCAGTTTGTGGGTTTTGTTATTTTGGTACTTGGTTTTATATTGACGTCAGTTCCTGTGTTTTTGTTTTAATTTGACTTCCTGTTCCGTTCCCCGGGTGATGGTAGGCCCCGCCCATGTCACCTGTGTCTCGCTGGGTCCATGTACCTGTGCTCTTCTCCTCTTGTTGCTGTTGTCTTTGTCGGTTCATGTCTATAGTCCTGGTTCCGTTTGGATTTTTAGTTTGGTTTTCCTTGGACTTTTGTTTATACAGTATATCCTTAAATCATCATCTTTCTGCAGTATTGCATTTTGGGTCCTTCCTTCATCTCACCACAGGACATGAGAATTGGCAAAAATTTGATGATTCGATTGTGTTGAAATATTTGGGCCACACTTCAATAATATTGCGATACAGCATGTATTGCGATTCGATTCTGCGATATGTTGCGATTCATGTCTCTCATATAATTCAAAGACATTTAATTAAGGAAAATAAGACTACTCAAATGTCACATGTTTTATGGTCTGCACCTGAACTGAAGTGCAAACACTGAGGAGGGAAGTGCAAAAAGGCATTGTGTAGAAACAATTGTGATGACGCCATTTTCATTTGAACTTACTGATGAATGAACGCACAACAACAAAGTACTGCAACAAGCGCCACCTTGTGGATGTGATACGCAGGTGTGAATTACCAGAGATAATCAATTACTTGAATATTGGGATACTTTGCTCTACTATATCGCTTTTATTGCATGCACAAACTATCACGATACTGAACAGAGTTGATTTTGTTCCTCCACCACCATTCGCGTGTAGTGTCGCCTTTATTTAGTTCTAGCACAACAAGACAAGCTTCTTACAGTGAGCGTGTCGCCTCTCCAGAGACCTGACCTGTCATTTTTCCACAAGCGTCACCTGCTCGTCCTCGTGGAGGCGGTACAGACTGTGGGACATATGCATGGGTTTCAAGGATCATAATAACGAGGCCCGTTGCCATAGTGATTGACATCTGAAAACAAAATATTCTGTCATTTGAACGGAAAAAGAAATCCTCATGAAACGGGAAGAAACCCATTAAAGCAGTGAAATCCCAGGTGACAGTACAAACAGAGAAGTAACAGCCTGCTTGTTCTACTCGCTCTCTTATTTTAGGTAATTATGTGAAACAAAAATGTGGAGAAATGTGGAAAAGTCCAGTAGAGTCTGCGTTTCATCAGGCGGAGTCCAGCGCGGAATCATAAATCAACCGGGGAACTGCGCAGGGACTTGTCACTAAAGTCAAATTTGTGGATTCTTTTGTTTTCTTAAAGGGGGGCTGTTTTGGCTCCTCTGCTCGTCCCATCACGGGGGCAATAAAAGCTGATTTAGACAATAGGAATGAGTTTAGTATTTAGTGCTCTTTGAGACTGTCGTTAAATTTAATGGTTTGCTTTTCGTACTGATAAAAGTATTAGGATCCCAAATCTGGTTTTGTTTAGACAGTTCACTCACAAAAATTAGAATAATTTACTTTTTCTTGTCCATAAAACAGCAATTACATACTACGTATTATATGTATTGCTGTAGTTGCTTACAAAATTAATATTCCAACATTTAAAAAAAAATAATATGTGCTAGTTCTAACTGCAGCTAAACCCAGAAGGCATTTCACACAAACCAAAAACCTTGAATTTTTGACCAAATTCCTGGGAAGTTCTGTAGAATCTGACATGCATATTTACTGTATTACTGTTTAAACATTATCTGAAGCACTGTACGTCTTTGTTCTGACTCACATTGTTATTAGTATCTATATCTTAAGCATGTGTCATTAATATCTCAAGATACCTCCGTCTGTTCTTATGCACATTGATACAAATCATTTAAAAGCCCTTGTCTTCACAGATACAGGTCAGACTCTACAGTTCCTTTCAGACCGTCTGCCCTGACTCTACACTTTTAGTCCGAGGTGTGCTCAGTGACAAACAAACCAAAGCAAATCAGACCAGATTGTGACCAATCACAGCGGACCACTGGCCCCCACTTTCTTGAGAAAAGCCACAGGTCTCTCGTTAGAGGGACGGCGAGCAGAAAGAGCGAGGCCAGTGCTCACATTCGAAAATTTCACAAAGTGAGTTAGTGCAGCTTTTAACAATGATAAACGTTTAATCGTTTGAAATAATCATGCGCCACATGTGGGACGACAGATGGAAATTAGCGGCATAGCTAACATTCTGGTGTATTTCCAGCTCCTGCTGCTCATTAAAACACACTGTTCCATCCAAAAAAACAAATACATAAATACATAAATCAAGTCCAAAGCTGTTATCTGAAAGGTTGTTTTTTAGTACAAGGCTTTTGACTCAAAGATAATACAGTAGACAAGTACAGTTTGTCAGGGAGATGTCTCATCTGTCACTGCACCACAGTAATGCCATTAAGATTAATTTAATGTTTTAAGAAATATATGTTTTTGACAAGTCGTATGATTTGAACAAATGACCCACAAAATTACTATTTCCCATGTTCCAACTTGTACAAGATGTTTTTTTGTCTATATCCCTCAGAGATTGTTGGAGATTTTTAAAATAGCTTGGTTATTTTTCATTTTTATTTTTGCTAGTTGCTCATAGTCCAAAGGAAACTTCCACTTGACTGGTCAAGAGTATGTCCACTTCACTACAGCCTTGGGAGTTTTTCTATGGAACGGTGCCATTGGGTCTGAAAGCCTGCGATGTCTCTGCCTGCTCATAATGTACAAGCACTGATGCAATATTCACCGAACCACTGTGTTTGGAAAACTTTAAATCCATGAACATGTTCAGTTGTAAATGTGTGAATACAGCTTGATCCTATTGTGGATATTTTACAGAAAGACCACAACAAAGTCACAGACACCTATTAAATGATACATGATTTTGTTTATTTCAGTTGGCTTAAAACTAACATGCACCATTCCCAGTGTCAAATATGGGGGTGTTAGCATTACTTTAGGGGCCTGTTTTCATCAGCAGGGACAGGGAAGAGCCTCAGAGTTGATGGGAAGGTTGATGGAGCAAAAATACTGCTGGAGCTGCAGATTCCACGTGTATTTACTCACACAGAAAACTTACGCTAACTTCACATTTCAGGATAATTTCAATATTAACAAAATCACGTATCATTTTGCTTTCACTTCACAGTTGCGTGTTACTTTGCTGCGGTCTTTCAGTAAAAAATCCAAAAAATTGTTGTGGTCGTAACATGACAAAATAAACAGTCAAGCTGTGTTATTGACATTATTTACCAACTAGCAGGTTAGCCTCCTGTTCTCTCATCCACGTCAGAGTCTAGTGCTTTGCGACTGCGGCTTTTGCCTGTGAATTTTGTCCAGCTCAGTAATAGCCTGTCATAATTATTTCATTTTTCCTTTTCTGTGTTCTCTTGATGACAGATGAAGCAACAGCTGAAATGGCCAAGAGGACGGCTACATCCAGCACCCGTCTCTGTAAGGTATGGCATCTGCTCTTACTGTTTACCTTACGAGTGTGCAGTGAGGCTTCCCAGTTTGCAAATCCGTCTGTCTTCTGTCCTAATGATCCACATTTTTGTCCAAATCCAATCATACCAAAAGAGAGAGACACATCGGAACGCAAGAAAAAGACACATTTTTGATCAATTCTCCTGATTTTTGCCAATAATGTTCTCCCATTGGTGCGCACCTGGCCTCCTTGTCTAATCTCTATTTGTAAAATCGCTCCATTAATAACAAATTGAGCTGTTTCTGACCCACACCTGGCCGCACGCGTTGCCAAAGCCATGACTTCATACAGCTACTCTTGAGGTCTCGAGGCTGCGATGGAAAGGAAACGTCTCAAGGAAGCACTTTTCTCGGGAATTGAAAATAATATTGTCACCGTTCCTTTGGGAGGTAAACAGACTTAAAACAAAAGCGTTCCCAGGCTGCTCAGGTTGCAGACAGGAATGCATAGGCTTGTGAAAATAAATATGTGAATGAACTACAGTACGGCATCCAGTATAGGCTCAGGCAGAAGTGACTGTATCTGTAATCTGCTTTTTTTTGCTCTTGTTCAGTACTATTAAACCTAGATCCCATGAAGCCATGAAGCAACAATCGCCATAGCAACGAATGTACATTACAAAATACAAAAACATCATTAGTCCAACTTTGCGAAGTCAAATGTCATGCTGCTTAATGTAATCTCATCCTTGGCCTTTTCCTGACTTTTCATTAGCGTTACAAACAGGTATAACGGTAACAATAAAAGGAAATTTCTGGATACAATTAAGATTAAGAGATGCTTTATTTGTCCCATGGTTGGTGGAAATTTCAGGGCTGCATCATTGGTTACAGAACAACAACTCTACACTAAAACAAAACAAAATAAAATCTCCAACTTAAGCACAAAAAGAAACAAATCTAAAATCTCCAGCTTTAGCTTAGTGAAGAAGTAGGAATTAAGTACAAAACCTCTGACTTTGGTATAGTCAAGAAGCAGTATAAAATCTCCAGCTTTAGCATGATAAAAAGTAAGAATTATGAATAAAATCTCTAACTTTAGCATAACAAAGAAGCAAGTATACAGTTTCCAGCTTTAGTATAATAAGGAAGCAAGTCTAAAGTACTGTATATTCTACTGAAAGATATGTACTGTACTGTAGTTGTATGTATCCACAGTGGACACATGTGGTTCGATATTGTACATTCTGATATTTTCTGAAAGTGCTCATTACAAAAATCAGCCCTTTCTGGAGGCCGTGCCAAGCCTGACCAAGTGAACCCAGATGGCAGAGGCACTGTGACCTGCTGCGAACGGTGCTCCCACAAAGACCCCATCATGCACTCGCATTAGCTTCACTTTTTCTCGGCGCTGCTCTGGTCTTTGACTGTTATTTTTAAGTGGAACGCCTCAGAGACAAAGAGATAGACTGTTGCATAGTGCTGCGGTTGCATTCACTTATCAGCTGCTTCTCTTCCTCGGAGCCTGATAAAAGCCAGCGCCTCCAGCTGAGAGGTCAAGCAACAGAAACTTTATGACAGCACGTCTGCAACCCCAAAAACGCAGGGCCAATAAATCTAGGTTTGCATTGGACTGAGCTGACTGTGCTTCCAGATGTACTGCGACGTACTGTTAGCGCAGGGATATCGTCAATATAGAAATGGAAAAATTCATGACTGTCATTTTTTTAACCGCTCGAAGATGGAAAGTTATGGTGTAATTCGTGGCAAAATACAATTTGTTTTTACGGCTGAGAATCTCATTAGTGCCGGTTGGAGTTACACAAAGTGGTCTCTGTGTTTGCTTAGTGTGCAGCTGGATTGAAATGTGAAAATGTTGAGCCTTCGATTTGGAATTTTCCACAAGGGAATGTCGATTCTTGAGCTGGGGCCGTTTTCATGATAGCAAAGCTTCAGCTGACTAGTATTGTATCAGTATTGTTATGTCTTTTCCTTTTGAAACAGTGACAGTAAAACAATTGTTTCTGAGGAAAAGGGGTACTGATATTAAAACATCAATAATAGATATAGTGAGAGGTGTACATATGGGGCGACAGGTCATGGGCATAATGGTCATGGGTTTGTTCCCCCCCGACACCTTCTCCATCCACTCCCACTGCTGTTGTTGTGTCCCCACTCTGCCTGAAGACCTTCTGAAAGATTATAGCTGTGTTATCGCCCCCACCTGCAGGCCATCAGTGACCGGCTGATGCTATGATTCAGATTCAGACTACTTAAATCTATCCCACCAGGGGCAAAAATAAAGTAGTCTGAGACTTGGTGGCTGCTCTGATTCCTGTGCGTCCATTCCACAGCGACTTATTCAACTCCAATTCTGTTTTATTACGATGAAAAAGGGAAATTCAATGTACGGACGATAAATACTGAGCCAAAAATATACAGTGGGGCAAAAAAGTATTTATTCAGCCTCAGCCACCGATTGTGTAAGTTCTCCCACTTAAAATAATCACAGAGGTCTGTAATTTTCATCATAGGTACACTTCAACTGTGAGAGACAGAATGTGCAACAAAAAAATCCAGGATTTCACATTGTTGGATTTTTTAAGAATTTATTTGTAAATTATGATGGAAAATAAGTATTTGGTCACCTCAACCAAGGAAGATCTCTGGCTCTCATAGACCTGTAACTTCTTCTTTAAGAAGTTCTTCTGTCTTCCACTCGTTACCTGTATTAATGGCACCTGTTTGAACTTGTTATCTGTATAAAAGACACCTGTCCACAGCCTCAAACAGTCAGACTCCAAACTCCACTATGGCCAAGACCAAAGAGCTGTTGAAGGACACCAGGAAAAGAATTGTAGACCTGCACCAGACTGGGAAGAGTGAATCTACAATAGGCAAGCAGCTTGGTGTGAACAAATCAACTGTGGGAGCAATTATCAGAAAATAGACATACAAGACCACTGATAATCTCCCTCGATCTGGGGCTCCACGCAAGATCTCATCCCGTGGGGTCAAAATGATCATGAGAACGGTGATCAAATATCCCAGAACCACACGGGGGGACCTGGTGAATGACCTGCAGAGAGCTGGGACCAAAGTAACAAAGGTTACCATCAGTAACACACTACGACACCTGGGAATCAAATCCTGCAGTGCCAGACGTGTCCCCCTGCTGAAGCCAGTGCATGTCCAGGCCCGTCTGAAGTTTGCCAGAGAGCACATGGATGATACAGCAGAGGATTGGGAGAATGTCATGTGGTCAGATGAAACCAAAGTAGAACTGTTTGGTATAAACTCAACTCGTCGTGTTTGGATACTGAGTTGCATCCCAAGAACACCATACCTACTGTGAAGCATGGGGGTGGACACGTCATACTTTGGAGCTGTTTTTCTGCTAAGGGGACAGGACAACTGATCTGTGTTAAGGAAAGAATGAATGGAGCCATGTATTGTGAGATTTTGAGCCAAAACCTCCTTCCATCAGTGAGAGCTTTGAAGATGAAATGTGGCTGGGTCTTCCAGCATGACAATGATCCCAAACACATCGCCCGGGCAACGAAGGAGTGGCTCCGTAAGAAGCTTTTGAAAGTCCTGGAGTGGCCTCGCCAGTCTCCAGACCTCAACCCCATTGTCCGTGTTCACTGCTCTCGAGAAGATCTGCATGGAGGAATGGGCCAAAATACCAGCTACTGTGTGTGCAAACCTGGTAAAGACCTATAATAATTGCTTGACCTCTGTTATTGCCAACAAAGGTTATATTACCAAGTATTGAGTTGAATTCTTGTTATTGACCAAATACTTATTTTCCACCACAATTTACAAATAAATTCTTTAAAAATCCTACAATGGGAATTCCTGGATTTTTTTTCACATTCTGTCTCTCACAGTTGAAGTGTACCTATGATGAAAATTACAGACCTCTGTCATTATTTTAAGTGGGAGAACTTGCACAATCGGTGGCTGACTAAATACTTTTTTGCCCCACTGTATGTTTCTGTCCATTATATTCCATCGAGTTATTGAACATTATCTTGTAATTATTGTGACTATTGCCGTGGATGGCACGTTGGCGCAGTGGTCACGTGCACAAACTTTTCCGTGTGGAGCTTGCATGTTCTCCCCTTGCCTGCATAGGTTTCCTCTGGGTGCTCAAATTTCCAAAAATATGTACAATAGGTCCGGCATGCCTTTGTAGCTCCTACTTACTTATTTTGTAAGTATTGTTTCCATATGGGCCATCAATATGTTGTGATACTATTGTCTCTCCTGCTACAAAAATTAAATGTGGTTTCAAAGTAATTTCAAAGTTCTTCCAAAAAAGTGATATTGGGCAGAATATTATGTTTCGGTAAATCTCAATAGTCACATTTATATAGCGCTTTTCTACCTAGCGCTTAGCATCAAGGAACCACTCACCCACTCACACTCACCTTCACGCACCGGTGTTCGCAGATACTGGGGGTGAGGCGGGTTTAGTGTCTTGCCCAAGTGCACACAGCATGGGACCTGGGTTCACACCACAAAGCTTGAACTCAGAGGACACACAGAGAGAGCCTGTCACAATAATTACATCTATTTATTAAGATTAAGAGTTCCTTTATTCGTCCCGCAGTGGGGAAATTTCAGTGTTGCATCATCGGTTACAGAACAGTAGGCATGAGAAGCACACAGCATAAGATAAATGAACAATAACTCTACAAATATCTCTAAAATCAAATAAAATCTATCTTTTGCATAATAAAGAATCCCACAATAGTGTATGTTGTAGTGCTGTAAATATATAGTTGTATGTTTACATCCCTACACAAGCACAAGGATTTGGGACAAAGTAACTAAGTAAAGAGACCGCGGACATATGTGGTTCTATACTGCAAATTCTGACGTTATTTCAAACTATCTTTCAATAACTTAATCAATGAATATTTTTGGGGCTAAATATGTATCTTTTCTGTTGTTTGCCATTTTGATCTGTCAGAGAAATAACAAAAGCTGACTTATTTACTAGTATAAAAAGGTTTGGGACTGTGGGATTACCAGTCCTTCTGAATCACAGAAGTGCACATGTATTTTTCCTTCAGTCTGATTCCTGTGCATGAAGGAGTTAACTGCTGTGCTCAGGTAATGACAGGGAGGAGCTTATTTCTTTTGATTTAGTTTATGCATCAATGACTCTTACAGCCGGGAGAGCGTTAAACATGCTTTGCTTTTGCTTTCTCTCTGTCTGAAGGATCCGGAGAAGACCCAGGATGTCACTGAGGACCGACTGAACCGCTTCCGCAGCAGAAACGAGCCTAGTACCAGGTATCTTCTCCCAACCTATACTACACACTGACCCAAAACAAGCCGGTATCCCATAGCAACTAGCTTCCCTGTCAAACCCATTCAAAACCAACTCGCCATGTTATTTTAGTGGTTGTTTTATTTGTACTTTTAGACTTGGCGTCCTCTTTTTACACGACTTTGCAAAGGGCTGAGGCGGGGAACTTTTCCTTGAAGTAGAAAGCTTCGCAGACGTAATTATGGCTCCAAATGAGTGTCTCCCTAATGATGTAAACAGCTCCAGAAATAAACCAGATGAACCTGCAGAGCTCGCCACACGCACAGTCGCACACATGTTTGGGCACAGTATATAGTATATGGATATGTAAAACTGATACAAGCAACGGTGAGGGCCAGACGCAGCAGAGAGGAATCAGGCTGAGGCAATTTAGGGGTTTTTTCTTCTAACCCAAAAATGTTGTTTGTTATTGTGAAATTGTGGTGGTTCATTTGCTGGTGGTAGTGATAGTAGATACTAGTAACAAGGTACAAAATAAGACAAAAAATGAGACACAAAATAAACAGAAATAGATCGACACACAAGCTACATAAAAAACTGAAGAAAATGAAGAAAAAAGCAGAAATCATAGACATGTTTGTGCCTGCATACAGACAAGATTCACACAGCAAATGTTATATGAACTAATTTCTTTCAACAATATCATGTGGAAATAGGTATTCGAGTGTACACAGTATTTGACTTATCTATATTTAATACACACAATTAATAATAGAAAATATATGCACCAAATATTTAAAACAATTGCAGCTTTACCTACGCTACACTGTACTGTATATACTGTATTATTTAAGCCTTTTTTCCTTTTTTGGTTGAGGTCATTAGTCTAACATTGTATGGAGCAGACATAAGGGATTGTGAAAGAGCAAGAAGAAAGTTAGATCTAGAAATGAGTAGACATTATGTGAATCCTGCTGAAGAGAAGAGGATTGGCGTTCCAAAGGTCTCATCAGCGATTGATCCTGATAAAGAGTCTGTAGAAGTTATGGTTACTACGATGCCTCTGTAAAATAAAGTCTTTGTGAAACGGCCAAGAAAGGCTGTTCATCCTGACTATTCTTTACTAACCCTTTAGGCGCCCGATTTAGGAGAATGCAGTCCTGAAATAGAAATAAATGCAAAAAAAAAGTCAGAAGTTGTGAGAAGTCAGGTCGCTGTATAGAAAGTGTCCTGGATTCAGAGGCTCACGTAGCAAGTCGACTTTGGTGCCTAAAGAGTTGATGTCAATTGGTAATATCATATACAAAACTTGCCTTTGTAATTACATATCGTTCTTGACTAACCCTAAACCAGAGAGTTTGAAGACTAACTAGCTGTGTGGTAACTACTATTCACAGCTCAATTGTTTTAATGAATCTGAAATGTAAGTCTTTCTCTGTGCAGAATTTGTTTCCACTGATAATGAAAGTAAATGAGTCATCAGAGGTCCAAACTACAGGGCCTCAGCCTCACACGAGTCCTTCGGGTCTCGTAAACAGATTTAGCTTGAAATCGTACAGATTTTTTGACGCAACGGTCCAATTTCTAAATTTTTCTCAACATTTCTTACAATTCATTACAGGAACATCACCATGGACACGAGCAAAACCACAGAAGAGGAAAGTGAAGAGCCCTTTGAGAACAATCGGCATGGGAGCGAGGAAGAGGTCAGTGCTTCTTTAAGTGCATAAAGGTGTCTTGTTGAAATTGATGGGACTTATGATAAAAGGATCATGCTAAAGCTAATGCAACCTCGGCCTGAATCCGAGATGAAAACATTCCTTTCCACATAGACCCCATTCACCAAACCTGTATTTAAACAAGAAAATATGCCATGTTTTGATCTATACGGCAATAGGTTTGACAAACGATTTCTTGCACTGCTGGTTTGCATTAGGTCTGACCAGCTGGTTAGCATTGCACTTTTCCTCCCAGCCTTTCTGTCACTTTCAAATTAACACTCCCTCGTGACCTTTGAGCGGACAGTGAGTCGCTTGGCGGAGATCCAGCTGCAGCTGTGTCAAAAGTAACGACGCATCGAGCACTGCTCTGGTTACCCTTGTAATTAGGCATTCCGCCTCCTGTGTGTATGAATACTCAAAGTCGTTTGTCTCAATGGTCAGGGCCTGAAGATTAGGGATCCCAACGGGTTTGGAGTCCTGTAGTCATGTTGGGAAATGATTTGGTTTAAGTATTATTAATATGTGTGCAATCTGAGTGCTCTTATTTCCTTCTTTCTCTGCTGTAATGTGCGCAAAAACACTGAAATTTCTCCTCTGTGAGACGAAGAAAGGAATATCTTGTCTTATATACACATGAGAGTGAAAATGTAAAACTCTTTTATAGAAGTGATTTCAGTCACAACAAGCCTCTTTTGAAAGTGTACCATTCCCTTAAAGGTGCAGGTTGTAGTTTGTCTTCAGCGCCTAAATGCACTTAAAACCGTCATTTCTGGACTTTTAAGCCTCTACTTTTTCTTGTTCTTTGATCCCTGCGGCTTCTATAGCGATGCGGCCTAGAGTTAAGTTCATGGACTTATTGTTTTGATTCCATCAAGTTCTATACTAGACACTCATTTATTGTCAAAATAGACTTGTGAACGTAAGCAATGAATTAAGCTCTTAAACACCTCGTTGTGTCCAGTTCAAACAGTCGTCTTTCTGCTGCATAACAACATGAAAACCTGCGGCTTTATTCAAGTGCGGTCTATTTATGGACAAAACAGATTTTCTTTTCAAATGTAGATGGTTTTTTACCGGTGCTCCCTAAAGTCCAGAAAGGAATAATAGATCCATGGCAATTATTCTTGGATTATATGGGCCTGTTCACATATGAAAATGGAGTATTAAACAAATGAAGCACAAATGGTACTTGCTGGACTATTCAGAAACACCTGTATATAAACAGCACCAGTTATTTTTGTCCACATAAAAGCCGCACTTGATAACAAAGTTTCATGTTTAGCGCACGCTTGACTTGTGACGATCAAAGCTTTGTAAATATCACTCTGAGGAGTTGACAATAAACATCCGTTCTATGTCTGGAGTCATATAATATGTCCATAAACTCTGCTCTGACAACAGCCCTAGTCACATAAACGTCCCTTGTATTTCTCTACGTGGAGCACCAGAAACAGGGCCTTAAGTTGTCATGTTACTTTGCAGAGGAATCTCAAATAACACATATTGACTTTTAATCTTCCTCTATGATGTGTATAAAAATGAATATTTGTTTTCTATCAACAGCCGTCTCCAGAACCCCCCAAAGCACAAGCCTCCTCTCCCCCGGCCACGCCCTCTCCGCCGCCCTTCTCTCTGCAACGCCAGGACTCCGAACCGCGCGGGATCAAGGGCATCCTGAAGAAAAGCCGCTCCACCAGTTTTGACTCGGACCACAGCGACTCGCCCTCCACAGAGCCGGCCCTGGCACGGCAAAGCAGCATCAGCCTGAGCCAGACCCTGAGCGAGGAGGAGGCTGACGAAGACGAGCTGGATGGAGAGGAGGAAGAGTACGAGGAGGAAGAGGAGGAGGAAGACGAGTCCATGAATGATGTCACGGACGGAGGCTGCATGAGCAGACAGAAGCGAGGAGGCAGCAGCAGCGGCAGTGGGAGTGGGAGTGGGAGTTTGGAGGAGATGCGGAGTCCCTCCCCCAACGAAAGCCTGGACAAGTCTGAGTCTTCGGTCTCGGAGGACGTGGACGAGCTGGAGAGCAGTCTGGAAGGAAGCACGGGGTCTGGCATCAAACAGAGGTTAATAAGGGAATGAATACATACATAAAGTGCTCAGAGTCTACAAGGGAAGGGTTTAAGATTGGTGACAATATCCATCCATCCATTTTCTTCCCCTTAATCCATTTCTGGGTCGGGGGGGTGGCAGTCAGAGCTGCACCCAGTCACAGAGCACCAGCCCCTCACTGATCCTCCTGCAGGTGGTGAGTCCACAGGAGCTGAGATCTTTCAGTTGGGGCTTTGGGCAAAGTAGGGTTAAGTGTCTTGCCCAAGGACACAACGACAGCAGACATCAGTGGGAGTCCTGAAGTAGGTCTTTCGGTGGGCTCGAACCCACGACCTTCAGGCCGAAAGGCCAATGCTCTACCAACTGAGCTAATGTCGCCCTAGACATTTGCAAAGATTTCAATTAGAGGTGCAACGGTTCATCACTGATCCGTGATCCGTTCGGATCAACGTCTTCGGTTCGGTACAGACGTGATCCGCGGTTTGATTTATGAAAAAAAAAGTTGTGCGCATGTTGTTTAGTCCACACACAGTGTGGTCACGGCGAGCAGAGGAACGGAGATGTTTGAAAGCCCCATCCATCCATCCATCCATTTTTCCCTTAATCCATTTCTGGGTCGGGGGGGTGGCAGTCAGAGCTGCACCCAGTACACAAAGCACCAGCCCCTCACTGATCCTCCTGCAGGCGCCGACTCCACATGAGCCGTGTTTATTAAAAAGACAACACTTTTTTTTTTTTTTTTTTTTTTTAAATGAGCCAAAAAATGAACCAAACCGTGGCCTGTGAACCGAGGTACGATCTGAACCGTGATTTTTTTCAAACCGTTGCACCCCTAATTTCAATTATTTCAGGGATTCTCAAAGTTTACGTTCAGGGGCCTCCAGAATACTGATGTTATCCCTGTGCAGGTTTCTGCTTTCCCCTCCCTCTAAAAATATACATTATGCATGAATGTGCTGAGCGGGTGAGTGGTTTCCATTACTGTGTGTGGAGTGTAGGGGGAGATGATGATACCGGGCTGATACCGATAATTAGGTTTGTTTAGCACAGTTCATACACAAGGCAACTCAAAGTGCTTCATAAAACAAGATAGAAACAATCACACGTGGAATTAAAACAAGGCTGATCCCAATTAATGTTACGTTTAGTTGTGGCATTGTTGTTTAAAATAGGTTAGACTAGACTAATAATTTAATTTGGTTAATAAAAAATAAAAAAATCTACAAAAAAAATTACAATTGCTGATACTGTATATCGCTATTCGATGTGTGTAATGGTCCCGGCCAATGAACAATCAATGGAGAGAATTTAATTTTAGTCTGTCAGCTGTAGTGTGGATTGTTCCTAAACAGCCACCATTTAAGAAACGTAAAAATAGATACAGTGTCCCTTTAAAACATTGTAGGTTTGTAATTGTACAAAAGCATGACTAAATGCTTATCTCAGACAATACAGCGGTGGTTAAAGGGCTTATCTCGCTCTTGTCGACCATCAGAATTGCCTGAAAGCCGCTGAAATCCTTATCTGAACCTTATCTGATTCCTCTGTAGGCTGGCAGAGTTTAAAGGGGAGCATAAAACTGAGAGCAAAATCAGGAAGAGCAGGTCTCCTGAGGTCATCCAGACGTCACTGGCCGATCGCTTCAACCAACTTCAAGATGCTGAAAACTCCTGGAAGAAAAAGGTAAGAGCGTTACTTAAATGGGTAAAGTGGATTTCTTGGTATAAAGGTCTGTAACGAGAGAATGGCCCCAGGTTTTGAGGCTTCTCTGTAAAGGTTTAGTGAGAGGGGGAAGAGAGTTTGGCTTTGGACGCATTCTTCCCGTGTGGAGTCAGCTTATTTCCCGGAGCCGCTGCCAGCAGTGGAGAGGTTAGCAGGGATTTGAGGCGCAATTCATTTGGGCTGCGATGCCAAAGCAAGTGATCCACAGCTTAAGAGGGGGGAGAGTCACGCCTTTTGTCTTGGAAAAACAAAACTGACACTCTGGCCAAACATATCCTGGATGTTGACCTAGTGTAGCGCTGTTTCAGTGGATTGGACCTGCTGTTTCCTGTAAAAAACGCTTATGTTGCTTTTGCTCTAAAACAAGGGTGGGCGATTATTTTTTTCTGGGGGCCACGTGGAGATATTGTTGTATTTAGGAAAGCCTGACTCGCTTAAAAAAGTAAAACATATTTACAGAAGAGAAGGTAGGGAAACCTGAACATTATGTGGGAGGTAATTTATTATTCTATTAAATTATTATTTTTTTGTTGTCTTTAGATTTCAATCCTTGCTCTGATTGAAGCAAAGCTGCAATAAAGCTAAATAAGTGTAAGCATCATGGGCAGATTAGTGTCTTTGATTATTATGAGGTATAACATGCCATCATAGCTCTCATGAAGTTACAAGCCTTCATTCAGTTCTGATTCCAATTCATTTAAAAAAACATACTGTTGTCAGAGGGCCACACATCAACATGAATTGGGCCGTATGTGGCCCCCGGACCGCACTTTGCCCAGGCCTCCTCTAAAACATCCAGGTTGGTGTTTGGTTCATCTTACCACACTTATTCTAAATCAACATAAATAATCACAGTACATTAAAAAGAAAGATATAAAAATATAAAATCCCTCAGTTTTTAACTGTTTTTAACCTGGTTTTAAACATTGTCAGAGAGGAGGCCTGTCTCACATCTTCAGGAAGATTGTTCCAGATTTATTAAATTATTATGTGTCATCATTTCAAAGCACTTTATGTTCATTACAGAATCTAGATTCAGTCTTCCAAAGGTTGATAGATAGTAATGGTTCTGTCAAAACTTCAAAATGAAGATTAGAATGTATTCCAAAGTGCACTATAGACATTTCTCTTAATGAATAGTATTTATGATTCTTAAAAATGCTTGTTAATTATTGAATTGTCTTAAACCAGAGTCAGGTCAATGACTGCACAGCCTTGGAATCTGGATTGAAAGTCCTAAAACTAATCTACAAGACAGGACAACGGTGATGACATATTTGTTTATGGGCATGGAGCCTGTTTGGGAATTTCTGGTTTTGCGACTCATGAAACTGGGTCTGGAGAAATCATAATAAAACTGAATCTTTGACTGATGTCATTAAAATGTGTGCGGTCTTTAGAGATGAATGTGAAGCAGAGTCCATAAAGATTAGCTACATTCTCCACATGCATGGCAGAAACAGCAACTCGAGGACAGAGGACCTGGGGCTATTACCTCATGTCACGGACCAGTGATTCTCAGAGTCTTGGAGGTCTCTGTTCAAAGGACTGGAAAATATGAACGTGAATGTCAACTTCTTTGCAAACTGAGAGAGTGAAACATTTTGAAGCAGTGGGGGCGGGTCCCGGCTCAAAAGTGGCCAAAATGACGTGCGCTGACATGCTGCAATACCACCCCGGGCCGATGGGGGTGGACCCGGAATACGAATTAGCCAATGCTAACATATAGCATCTTCTTACCTCTTGAAAACGTCTTTACAGGATGGTCCAAAAGTTGGCTCTTGGCCCAAAGCTCCGTTCCACATCTGTGTCAATGCTGAGGGGGGTTTACTCGCTTACTCGTTTAAATGAATGAGGCTCGTGCCGGCTGACGAGAGCGCAGATGCGTTTTTTCACATTTTCCAGCCCCTGCGGCCATTTTGAATCACTCCATGAAAGCCCAATTTTTGGCCCATTAGTTAGGACGGCGGAGATAGGCGTGACTACCTCCGTTAATATATACAGTCTATGTTTTGAAGACACGCACTGGTTAGCCCCGCCCACGCTCACCCCCGCTGCTCCCTGATTGGACAAATGCAATTATAATCCTTGAGGCTCCTCACCATTGGTTTAACTGCTCTCCTCCAGCAAGTTTAGAGGTCATAGTCTCGCCAACAGAATGGACTGTTTTTTTTACAGTTTCTCTTACTCAAAAATAACCATTATTAACAGTAAATAGAAACCTAATTTGTGTTTTTTATTTTCTCCAGCATTATTTGTTAACGACTAAGAAAATACCATGTGTCTTCAAACCAACTGGCACTACATTATGAATAATTATTTAGTATTTTTGGTGGGTTTGGTTTAGCCCGGGTTTTTGCCCGAGTTTCTTTCTTTTGAGTGTAAAAATTGAGCCAGAGTCCGTCTCGGATTCGAAGGCCGTTTGGGTGTCACTGTTCCTGCTCCTCTTCCTCTCTCTGATGGTTTGTTGTTTTATCTCCTGGAGCAGCACAGAGCAGGGGAATGTGAGCAGATACATCACAGTCAGCTGCAAACACATCCAGATGTTTCCTCACATCCACCGGGCCCTAAACCAGTCACGTCACCTCCTTCAATTACTATTGTTTACCCTCTGTCACAACACTCCTTCAGCTGCACACATATTTCTTTTACACGTGTTTTGGAAACGCCACTTTTGTGTGAATTACATTGTTTTTCTACTGTACGAATAAAAAGAACATAGAAATTGCGTCAGAAAAAGACATGGTTAAAAGTATTGGGTTTTTCTATACCAGACAATATAAGGTTTTGTGATATTGTCGGTTATAGAAGAACCCAATACTTTTAATTATACGAAAAAGACAAGATAAATATTTATAAACTATTAAAAGACATGGTTATTTCTGATTACTTTGTGCTTGTCAAATTCTGAAATAGTAGAGATTTTATTTTATCATAGAGTTATTGTTCATTTATCTTGTGCTGTGTTCTCCTCATTCCTACTGTTACCCAAAAGCAAGAGTTTTGTTGATAATGTTACACTGTGACTGGATGGAACATGGATTTTATTACTGTGCATAGTTCCATGGTTTTGTGGTTTGAAAGTTAGGTACCCCAGCTTTAACTATAACTCTTATTCATCCTCATATTCCACAAAGAAAACGTGTGCAGACGTGAAAAAACATTTATATTATAGACCAGGCATGTCAAACTCAGGTCCCAGGGCCAAACTTCGGCCCACTAGACCATTAACTTGAAGCAAAAGTACTCGTATGATTGAATCTGTTCTAAAATGTAAACTAACATGTAATGAGAAGAGAAGTTTACAGATTACATTTTATATTACCTACTATTTTATTATCCTCTTAATTTTTTCCTACTCCTGGTCTTTTTTCACAGAATGTATTACTGTTTTACTTGTGCTGGATTGTTGTGGTATTTTTGTCGCATTACCGCAAACAATTACATACTTACTCTTCTTGAAATTTGGCCCAGTTGTGGTTGGATCCAAGTCTACGCAATAATTTACAAACTCATGTCGAATCATTCTTTTGGCTCGGACCAGCTCTTGTGTTTTTGCATTTAGCCCCGGACCAAAATGCGTCTGACAGCCCTCTTATAGACACTACTGTGACAGGGCTACCATTTACATTTCTTCTTCATTTCCATTTGCGACCAGCTCTGAGAAAAAACCCTTTCATCCAAAATAACCCTTCTGTTTGTAGCTCATAATCTGTCTAATAAATATTCCTCCTTTGATCTCGCACTTTGCAAACCACAGTTTTCCACTATGTCACTACCTGCTTCTCCCACACTGTGCATGACCCTTGTCTTGTGGTTCCTGGTCTGCCATGTCTTAACCTTCTCCAGCTGCTACCCTTTCCCCCACTGTGCCCTGTCCTATATTCACTCTTTCCTTTCCTCTTTCCTAGTTTCCTTTGTCCTTTTCCTGTGGACTTCCCCTATTCCTTACCCTGCTCTATGTCTCCAGGTAAGTTCCCTCTACTGCTTTTCGCCTCCTTCTTAGTTTCTCAATCATCTCTCATGGATTAAAACGGGCTGAGAAATTGTAGCTGTCGTCAGTCTCGCTAGCAGCTGTTGCGGTTGCGGCGGTTTTGCTCCCGGTAGATAATTTTGTCAGTGGTTTTCGCAGTGAGCATGGCAGGGCTGAGAAATGTGTCTTCCTGTGGGTTGTGTGGGAGCCCCCTCTTTCCAGGATCTCCAGGGTCCCGTCAGGCCGAGGTATTTCCCCTCTTTTGCGCAGAGAAGCCTGAAGCCGAATCTCGTGTTTATAGTTAAGCAGCATCTTTGTGTGTGTCAAGAAAGAAATGAATGGCAATACCTGTGTTTTGAAACCAGCAAGAGCTCTGTTCAAAGAGCCAGACTTAAGGCGCTGTTTGTACAATGTCACTGTGATTAAATGCCGAGTTTTTGCCTCATGCAGGAGGACTAATATTTCAGCCTGGCAGAGTATGAGTGTGATTTGATAAAAAAAACCAAAAACAGGTTGGGTTATTTCTCTTGTGTTATGAGCTGTACGTGGAATTTCTTATTTTTTGATCCATTCAAATCTGGCACTTGCTCTCGTCTCTAGTCCATGGAAAGTTGCTCAGTGAGGCCCATTAAACTGTTGTTCCTAGTTATTCCTAGTTTTATCGTGATTTACCCACTGTGGGACGAATAAAGGTTTGCATATCTTATCTTCTCTTATCTTATTAGTTACTTTTGTGTTGAATTGATATCATTGGAGAGGATATCTGAAGGATATTTTGAAGTTACTTTTTTGACTCAATCAAATCTAATTGTCTCTCTTTACTTGTCCATGAACCATTACAGCTGTTCAAACTTGAAACGTTCTCAAAAGCCTTCGCTGCGTCGAGCATAAATCCACTCTGACAGTTTGTCTGCACTTTACACTCGAACTGGAAATCCTTTTCTCTTCAAAGCTGCCAACATCTGCCAACAACCCAGTCTTTGCTACACGCTCCTGCTGCACGCTCCTGCTGCACGCTCCTGCTGCACGCTCCTGCTACACGCTCCTGCTACACGCTCCTGCTGCACGCTCCTGCTACACGCTCCTGCTACACGCTCCTGCTGCACGCTCCTGCTGCACGCTCCTGCTGCACGCTCCTGCTGCACGCTCCTGCTACACGCTCCTGCTACACGCTCCTGCTACACGCTCCTGCTGCACGCTCCTGCTGCACGCTCCTGCTACACGCTCCTGCTGCACGCTCCTGCTGCACGCTCCTGCTGCACGCTCCTGCTGCACGCTCCTGCTACACGCTCCTGCTACACGCTCCTGCTGCACGCTCCTGCTGCACGCTCCTGCTGCACGCTCCTGCTGCACGCTCCTGCTGCACGCTCCTGCTGCACGCTCCTGCTGCACGCTCCTGGGCCTCACTGAGCAACTTTCCATGGACTAGAGACGAGAGCAAGTGCCAGATTTGAATGGATCAAAAAATAAGAAATTCTACGTACACGCTCCTGCTGCACGCTCCTGCTACACGGTCAGAGAGCCGGTCTTTAGTTCGTCCTGTCTGTGATTCACCATTATAGTTTAGTTGGTTGTTTTTACTGTTTTACTCTTGGTTGAGGAGTTGGAGACATGAAACCAGAGGAGAGGAGCATGAGACAGTATGGCGGGGGTTCTGAGGTCATTTCTTTGTTTTCCCTCTTTTCAAACATACAAATGAACACAATAACACTGCAGGAAAATATAGACTCCATTGTGGACGTGTGTGTGTGTAGTCTGTGTGTGTGTGTGTAGTCTGTGTGTGCATGCGTGTGTGTTGGTTTACCTGGGAAACATTTACTGAAACAGTTTTACTATAATACTATAAATATGAAGGCTTGTTGTCTGTGTTCACCTTCATTTGACGTTAATTTAGATCTTCAGTGGTTTCTTAATAAAAGCTTCACAAAGCTTTGAAACAACAAAACCAAACAATGATTGTGAAATTATGCCAAAGGTCACAATTACTGCTTAAAACTATTCCACAACAGGTGTAGCATGTTTTGGCACGTCGATTTTTTTGACATAAGGGGAGGATAGTGGGTAAAATGTGTCTTGTTATGCTGGATGTATTATGTGTGGGGAAACTACTGAAGATGACACAATAAAGTTATACAAAAAAATACACACAAATATTGCAGAATAACCAACAAGGATAAGAACTGATGGATTGATTCTCTAAGTTCACATGTGGTTTCATCATCACAACAGAAGTCGAGCAGCGACCTGGAGCCAAAGATGTCGTTGGCCGACAGAATGAAGATCCTGAAGGAGAAAGAGGAGCAGTGGAAGAACAGGGGCAAGGGAGCCGCCAACGACTCTGTGCAGTTCACCGTGGCCGGGCGCATGGCGAAGAAAGGTGCTTCTATTTGTACTACACGCACTCTAGAATCTTGTTAGAACGATCTGTGAGAATTATGACCGCTTCCTCCAGGTTTGGTGACAGAGACGGGCAAAGAAGAATCCACTCCGGTTTCCCTGAAAAAGTCCAACGCCACACCCGTCAAACCACTCGAAGGTTGCTTACTGTTTTTTGTCGTTGCTTTTTTGGCTCAGTTTACGTAAATACGTTTAAAAAAAATTACAATTCTTGTTTAGAAATCTCAACCAGAAGTGATATGAAGGTGGAAGGAGACAAGCGGCTCGACAAACTGGAATCGTTCCTTGATAAACTCCACAGCAAAGGTACAGTCCATCCAGTCTCTTCCCACATCCAGGACCAGTTTGTACAGGATCTTTTGGCAGTGTTAAAGCTGGGGTACCTAACTTTTTTGTTAATCTCTGGGTTTAAACAGCAGGTAGCAATTTGTACTTATTTTCTACGCGTTTTAATGTTGCGGTTTTTCACTTTTGAGTACGCTTAGGCTGTTTTTAAATGTACTTTACAAATAAATATTCATTGAACAGAAAGAGTTTTGTAAAAGTTCAATGTTTTGATCAACATTCTGTCTTCATCTTACTAATTGACTAAAATATTAATTAATTTTGTGAAAAATCGTCCCACAATTTGCTAAATTGAAATTATACAGGATTTTCTTTTCTATTTTAACCTATTAACGTATGTCGCAGGTGTGAGCAAAAGCAAGACCTCCACTATCGAAGTCACGACTGAGACGGAGAAAGAAATCATGACCCTGGACGACGACGAGACGTTCGGAAACTTCTACAAACCCATCTCTCCCACGTCTCGGCTCGAGTCCGGCCTCGTCATGACCGAGGAGGCCTTCAGCGAGATCACCGCCGTCACGCCCATGTCTGTACCCGTTCTGTGTGAGTGTGGCGCGTGATCAGAACATACATTTTGCTAAAGAGTGCGATTTTGATTTCAGGCTGGAGTCGTCTCTGGCGGAGCATAAACGCGCAGTGAGACCCAACAGACGGAAAAAGGGGTCCAGGAACCCGCTGAAGACCCTGGCCGCTCGCAACGACCTCCGGCAGGGCTACACGGAGCAGCGGCTGAACGTGGCGTCGCTGGAGACCAAGAGGATCCAAGTCGAGAGAAGTATGTACTTGTGAAACCGTGCACTTTGATAGCTGTAAATGGATTTGTGAAGAGAGATAAACCTATTATGTGTGTCTCTCTCTGGTCTCTCTCTGATCCCTCTCTCTCTGGTTTCTCTGGTCTCTGTCTGATCTCTCGCTCTGGTCTCTCTCTCTCTTTGGTCTTTCTCTGGCCATGCATATTTCATTGTTTGGTCTTTTGTTGTGGTTGATGTTAATAGTAAACAACACAAATATACAGTGCCTTGCGAAAGTATTGAACCTTTCAACATTTCGCCACATTTCAGGCTTCAAACATAAATATATAACATTTAAATTGTTTGTCATGAATCATCAACAAGTGGGACACAATCGTGAAGTGGAACGAAATTTATTGGATAATTTAAACTTTTAAAAAAAAAAAAAAACTGAAAAGTGGGGCGTGCAATATTATTCGGCCCCTTTACTTTCAGTGCAGCAAACTCACTCCAGAAGTTCAGTGAGGATCTTTGAGACTATCAAAGAGCAGGTGCATTTATACGGAGACTTGATTACACACAGGTGCATTCTATTTATCATCATCAGTCATTTAGGACAACATTGGATCATTCAAAGATCCTCACTGAACTTCTGGAGTGAGTTTGCTGCACTGAAAGTAAAGGGGCCGAATAATATTGCACGCCCCACTTTTCAGTTTTTTATTTGTTAAAAAAGTTTAAATTATCCAACAAATTTCATTCCATTTCCCGATTGTGTCCCACTTGTTGTTGATTCATGACAAAAAATTAAAATTTTATATCTTTATGTTTGAAGCCTGAAATGTGGCGAAATGTTGAAAGGTTCAAGGGGGCCGAATACTTTCGTATAATCATAATAGTCAATTGTCATTTCTGCCTCAATTTATTTTTGTCGAGCCCTAAATCACAACAGTATTTATCTCGGAAGACTTGTCAATTCTCCAACACAGATCAGAGAATCAAATAGTTCAAACACTGGAAAGGCAATAATGAGATAAAACACATAGAGCCATTGGTCCATAAGGGGCAGTGTCCATCACCACTGTCCTTAGACCCTCCTGCATCGCCCAAAATTGTATCTATTGCTGGATTGCAATCACGTGGTCCAAAGGGGGCGTGGCATGGGGCCGTAGAACAGGAAGTATTTTTCTCCCATCAGTTAGACAGGGCGATGCAGTGAAATGGACACATAGGGGCTTTTAGAGGCTATTGCATTTCTTTCGCTAAGGCATTTTCTTAATAATTGACACCCAGTAGATAAATATATATCAGAAAAATATAGACTCAGAATCAGTGAATATTTACATGTTCTTAATGGGAAGATTTACTTCCTGTCCCTGCAACCCAGCAATTCGTCTAAATGAAACATCAATTGTTTTTCCACAAGATCATATTAGATTTATATTGATTATTGTTTTTTTACAGTGGCCAAACACTCGAACCTTTCCGACGTGGCGCTGGCCGGTCTCGCCAGTAAAGAGAACTTCCGCAAAGTCAGCCTTCGCAGCGTGAAGTCCACAGAGGTGGTGACCAACAACAGCGCACTGCCCTTCAACAAGCTCATGCTCATTCGAATCAAAGGTGAGAGAAAAGAACAAGAGGCTTTCCATGGAACTCTCCGGACACAGAAGTGATTGTGGTTTGTTCCTGATCATGTGACCAGGACGCAGACACGTGCAGGTGCGACTGGTGGAGCCCACGTCCCGCTCTCTCAACAGCGGAGACTGCTTCCTGCTCATCACACCCAAACACTGCTTCATGTGGAGCGGGGAGTTCGCAAACGTCATCGAGAAGGCAAAGGTAATCCAGTTTATGAGGACTGTGGGGCTTTAATTAGAGATGTTTTTATACAGCCCTAATTCACAACAGCAGTCGTCTCGGAGTAAAAGGTAAAAGGAAAGGAAAAGGAGCCATTGGACCATAAGAGGCAAATGACCACCGTCCATAATTGTTTATAAATGTCCATAAATGTTCCGGATCCTCACTGTCCTAAGACGCTCCTGCAAAAAAGGTGTAGATCCAGGACTGAGGCTGTCGGTCCAGGACTTTCAGGGTCTAATATAAATGTACATTATTTTTAGGACTGCATTTGTCACAGCCACATTTTAGTCATTGATTGATTGATAGATACAGATCCTTCAGCTGCTAACCAATTCACATCTTTCAGTGGGGGCTTCAGGCAAAGTGGGGTTAAGTGTCTTTCTCAAGGACACGACAGCAGCAGACGTCAGTGGGAATGGAATTTAATTGAAATAGAAATCTTATAATTGTGTTCAAAACAATGAAGACAATATGATTAAAATAGAAAATCAATGTTGTATCTGATTTAAACATATCAATACTTATCTTAGAGTGTATTATTTTTTTTGGAGTTACCTTTAGAGTTTAAAGTTATGTGAATCTATGACTTGTAGTAATTTCTCTTGCTGGTCCAGGCCTCAGAGATGGCGTCCTTCGTTCAAGCCAAACGTGACCTGGGCTGCAAAGCTCCGCAGGTGACGCTGTTGGAAGAGGGCATCAACACCGAGGGCAGGTCGGCCAAGGAGTTCTGGACTTTACTGGGAGGGAAAGAGAAATACAGAGGTACGTGGTCATAACTGCAGGTAAAAGCCAGAGCCCGTCAGACCTGTGCAGGGCGGGGTCTGGCTAGTAAATAAAGCTTACTTACTTACTTACTTACTTACTTACTTACTTACTTTCTAGTACTGTGATGGGAGACCTCTGGGAACACCAGGTTTCACTGTCGCTGTGTCCTTAGGCAAGACACTTCACCTAAATTGCCTAGAATGAATGATTTCCTCGCTTCTGTCAGTGTGCCCCAGGGCAGTTGTGGCTACAGTAGAAGTTTATCACCCCTGTGTATAGAGTGAAAGAATAATAACATGTGAAGCGTCTTTGAGTATCCAAAAAAGTACTGTATAAAACCCGTATGTTATTATTATTATTATTATTATTATTATTACTATTACAAACACAAGACATTTTCTACTTTTGAGGATTCCACACTCATGGTCTGCTGGTGTGTGTTGACACCAGGGGCAGGGGAGCCGGAGGAGGACGAGCTGTACGAGAGCGGCGTGCTGGATTCTAACGGCGTGTACCGGCTGCAGGGAGACAGACTGGTGCCTCATGAAGACGCCTGGGCCTCCATCCCCAGCGTCACTTTACTGGACTCCAAAGAGGTAACCAAGCAAGACCTGAGCCTCCTGTAGGAACTATGGACGAAAGATCCAGAGGTGGAAAAAGCTCGGGTTTGTTACTTGAAGGTGATGGCTGAAACTTTATCTGTCATTTTGAAAAGAATAGATATTTTTGAACATGTGACACAGTTCATACACACGGCAACTCAAAGTGCTGAACAAAACTAGATGGAAACAAATGTACAAGGCACTAATAAATAAATAATCAAAGTATATTACAAAGAGTGAAGTGAAGATCTGTTTGGTAGAAGTAGAAGCCTGTCTCACATTTTCAGGAAGACTGTTCCTGATTTTAGCTGCAGAAATATGAAATGCTACATCCCCATGTTTAGTCCTAACTGTAGACACCGGCAGGCGGCCAGTCCCTGTGCTCCTCAGAGTCAGTGAATACATCTGTTTGACTATATGACCCTGTTGTACCATCTACTACATATTAAATATTTTTCACGGTAAATATATTTCTAACACACCAGACTCTACCCATTTACTCAAGTGAGTCCAGAAGAGGAAGAAAATGGAAATTCATCTTCAGGTTAAGACTGGACTCACTTGAGGAAATGGGAGGAGTCTGATGTGCTCCTGCTTGGTTGGAATGAAAACCTGCTCTTTGAGGGCCGAGTTGAAAACCTCTGTTTCTTACTCGCTAACATGGCATTACTTTCACTTAACAGTCACAATATCCTGTTATTCGTAAATGATTTCTATGGATTTCTGTTTTATTGGAACAAAACAGAGAATCACCTCTAACTTAGAGTCAAAAACAAAGAAAAAGTGTTAAGTTAAAACCTTAAGTAAGAAATACAGCCTGTGACATCACACTTACATCTGCTTAGATTTAGCAGTACTTCACACAGTTTTTGATGAAATGTTAAACTAAAACGTATTAAAATGATTTGTATATTTCTTGTCTGGTGGATATCTTTAGGTAATAATGTTGGATCACACACACACCTGAAGTTTTTTATTGTCTCTCTCCCAAACAGGTGTTGGTCTTTGATTTCGGGAGTGAGGTGTATGTGTGGCACGGGAAAGACGTGTCCTTGGGCGACAGGAAGGTGGCTGTGAAACTGGGCAAACAGCTGTACGGCGGCAGCTACGACTACTCCGACTGCAGAGTGAACCCCCTGGATGCATCATGTCTGAACACGGACGCACCGCTGTGAGTCACAACTAGCTCCTCTCTATCGCTTTCAATCAGGAACACTGTTGCCGTAGCGATTAAGAATCAAAAATATCATATTTGAGTGGGAATAAGTCCTCAAAATGTTGCACACAATAAGTAATCTCGAATAGTGTGACTAAAGTGTCTCCTCTCTGAAATTTCCCCACTGCGGGACAATAATGGATCTTTTAATCTGAGAGCTTGTGTTATTGCAGCCCCTAGTGGTTCTGTCAGGCAATTACAACGTATTCATGAAATACAATAGAACAAAAATGACCTATTACAATCTAAGTATTTGATTTATTGCTGACAAAAAATGGTCTTAAAAATGTATATTATTACTATGTATATTTTTGTGTTTTTTGATAAAAACTAGGAAAGGAGAAAGCCGCCCCAGCTGGGCTCTGTTTGGTCGCCTCTCCGAGCACAATGAGACCGCTCTGTTCCGAGAGAAGTTCCTGGACTGGGCAGAGAAGAAGAAAGACGAGAGTGCTCCGGCCGAGGAAAGCAAGGTCTGTCTTTAAAACAGATATTATTACTTTACTTTTCATATGTATTGTATTTTTGGATTGAAGTTCGGCTTGGACAGTATCATAGTCAGATAGATGGACAATTTTAACTCCCGAGGCTCAATGAAGCCCAGTAGCAAAGTGCTCAAGTTTTGCTCCTACTCACTCTCGCTAAGTCCTATTGACTTCCATTTAAAATCAAACTCCTTGAGCTCAGAGTGCGTTGGTGTCACTCTCACCATTTTGTGCTTAATAATTTGTGCTTTTTCACTCTCTAGTGTTAGTATTATTGTCTTTGTAAATCCAGATATAACAACTGACCAATCAGGAGCCTTCTGTCACAGAGTTCAACTTTTGCAGCGAAAAATCATCTTTTATGTAGTGTTCTCAACATTTGACGTTCTGTTTTCTCATACAGATTAAATAAACAAGATTTCACTTTGACACAAAAAGTTACTCCTGAAGGATTCGCACATACCACCAGCCTGATTGAAGGAAGACTGCTTTCTGTCTTTCTGTAATTTAAAGTCAATGTTACAATCAGCAGCTTTGTAACTCATAGAAAAGAAAGTTTGCACAAGCTGAAGAGGATGGTTGAATACTAATGTGCTTTCATATTATTGTCTGCCTATAACCGGCCTCAACAGTAACAATGTTTTCATGTGTTTCAAGGCCGCTGCTGCTTTGTAGAACCACTCTCATGAAGCTGCTCCCCTCTTTAGTCAAACGCAGTATTTTCAAGTATCTACCGCAAACTAAGGCAGCTCCCTCTTCCTCTCCATCAGAGTGGCAACACAGTGACGCGGTGGTTAGCGGAATTCCACCTTTCTGTGTAGAGTTTGCATGTTCTCCCCGTGTCTGCGTAGGTTCTCTCCAGGTGCTTCGGTTTCCTCTACCACTAAAAACATGAATGCAATGGAAAAAATATGGGTACTCCAAAATGTAAAGTGCTTTGTGTGACCTTGGTCTGTGAATTACGCTATATAAATGATGACTTACTTGATTATTTATTATTATGATTACTAGAGCCCGGTCCACTGCCCCAGCCGCCCCACTCTGGACACGGAGCTGCAGCCCTGCGACGCCAAAGCGCTGCTGGAGCACGAGGTGGAGGCGGTGAAGACGGTGCTGGAGGGGGTGGACGTGCAGAGGGGACACGGCCTGGTGAGGACGGAGGACGGCAGGCAGGCGGAGCTGGCCACGGTGGCGGTGGAGGCCTGGCACATCAACGAGCACAGCGAGGAGGAACTGCCCCAGCGCAGTGTGGGGCAGCTGCACGAGGAGGACGCCTACATCATCCGCTGGAAGTACTCCATCACCACACTCGGTAAAATCAAAAACAAAAAATCCAGTGTCAAAAGATAGGGTTGGGGTAAAAGATAATCGCACAAGTTTTGAATTGTATCATGTCGAACAATAGATGCAATAGATGGAACTATCTGGGAGAAAAATACATGAAAACACCTCCATGTTGACAGGAGTTATTACTTTTCAATTTGTGAAGATTGAGAGGTTTTTCTAATGCAAGCACCAGTTAGACCCGCCCCCAGAGGTTCCTGATTGGATGCTATTAATCAAAATCATTGATAGACAGCTGAGGCCCCTCACCATTGGTCGAACTGATCTGCTGTTGTGATTTAGGGCGAAAAATAAATTAAATTGAATAGATATATATTTATTAGGGCTGTCAAACGATAAACAAATTTATTCGAGTTAATTATAGCTTAAAAATGTATTAATCGCCTTTCAAACTATCGACAAAATGATGCCATATTCTTCTGTAAATGGTTGTTTGAATGGAAAGATACATGCCAACATCGTGTACATATGTACTGTATTTGTTTATTATACAATAAATCCATATAAAATGGCATTAACATTATTAACATTCTGTCTTTCTGTTTAGACTCAGACCAAAACTATTGTTTGTTACAGATGAGGGACATCTCAAAACAGTCTGAAAAGCAGAAAGTCAGTAAATCATAAACTGGGAGTGAAAGGGAAAATTAGGTACCCCAGCTTTAATTTAGCGAGTGCACTTCGGGAGAAGACACGGAGGAGACTGAGGCTTCAGGCTCCGTAGTCCAGCTTCTGCGCTGTATTTTTTGTGTGCACCGGTTACGCAAAGACACGTACGCACACTACAATCAGAGAATAGTTCTGTGTGTGGTCTTGGATATGATCACGTTACGCAGCGCTGTTCGCCGTGATCACAGCCGCTGGAGGAACCGCTGTCCAGAACGGCCGCAGCTCAGCTCGCAGAGTTCAGACAGGAAACTCCTGTATTCTTTTAAAACTTGAATTCCCAGAGACCTGCTTTGTCACCATCTCACACACACGTGTCTGTGCCATTCTGAGTGTTATTATGGGATGCATGGGCACGCGATTAATGAAAAAAATTAATTAATTAACGTGCGTTAACGCGATAATTTTGACAGCTCTAATATTTATGTAAATGAAAACTGATACTACAGGGTCATATCATTATGGTCAATATTATGTTAAAAAGTGAAGTTTCAGATAAATAAATGTTGTTTTCAGGGAGGAGAGGCAAATACTCATGCTGCCCTTCCTGCTGTTATCACATCATTAGTGTCTTTTCATTTGATTTGAGTGAATGTTGATACCAAAATTGAGGATGTTTTGTGGCTAAACTATTGTTGTTGCTATGGAGATAAAGTATACAAATATAACAGAGTATAGGAAATACTTCTGCATGTTTAAAATACAACCACGTCAACGCTGACACATTTTAGAGCTACCACATACACATATATATACACACACTCACCCACACACACACGCACATATACAAGTACACACACTCACCCACACATAGACACACACAGTCACACTCGTATACATACACACATAACAAATACACACACACACTCATGCACACACACACAGAGTTACACATACACACCCACACACATACACATACAGTACACATACACACACACACACACATAAACACAGAGTTACACATACACGCACACATACACACAGACATACACCCACACACATACACACAGACATACACCCACAGACATACACATATACACACACACATACACGCACGCACACATAAACCCACACACACACACACACACACACAGGAGAGCACTGTGGGGATAAACACTGGCAGGATAATTAGATGAGAGTGTTGTGTTTCCGTGTTGTGACAGTGGGGAAGCGGCAGAGGCCCGGGGAGCTGAGCGCTGGGACCCCCGGCAGAGAGAGGACCGCCTGCTTCTTCTGGCAGGGACAAAAATCCAGTGCCAACGAGAAAGGCACCTCTGCACTAATGACGGTGGAGCTGGGCAGCCACCGGGGGGCGCAAGTGAGTTGAATTTCAAATGGAAGATAGAAAACAATTCAAAAGCTGCTGGGGTAACTTTCTGTTGTGGTTTGAAAGCTAGGTACCCCAGCTTTAATCCAACAACGTATGGAGATGGCAGCACTTGATGTTAGATGTATTTAAATCCAATCCAATGGTCTAAATTAGCCAATACAAAACATTAAAATCTTCTGCGGTATAATCCTCCAACAATAAGAAATTAATACATATGTTTTGTAATTAAAGTTATTATAATCACCGTTCATATTTCAGCCTTTTAAAGTTTTTAACATGCTCAAACATACTCACATAAATTCAAACATGGGAGATACAGAAAGCTTTTGATTTGAAATTAAATATTACCTTTGATTTTTAGTTTTTAAATCCCAGACATCCTGATCTTATTTACCTTTTGTGTCTGCGTGTGCGTCTATGTGTGTCTGTCTGTGTGTCTGTCTGTGTGTGTGTGTGTGTGTGTGTGTGTGTGTGTGTGTGTAGATGCTGGTGAGTCAGGGGAAAGAGCCTCCGTGCTTTCTACAGCTCTTCCAGGGAGGTTTGATCATCCACAAAGGAAGCAGAGACACGCCAAGGACAGGTGAGCTCCAACCCAAACGCTTTGTTATCGTTGTTGATTATTTTCTCATCCAATTCCCCGTCTCCCTGTCCTTCTCCGCAGACGGCTGGAGGCTGTTCTGTGTGCGTGGAGAGGAGCCGGTGGAGGCCTCGCTGCTGGAGGTGGAGTGCGGTGCGTCCAGCCTCCGCTCCAGAGCCAGCCTGGTCCTTCTCAGTGCACAGAGGAAGCAGCTCTACCTGTGGCACGGCTGCAAGGCCCAGAGCTCCGCCCGACTGGTGGCCAAGAGGGCAGTGGACAAGCTGCAGGAAGGGTAATTATAGAGATCCGTTTTTTATACATTTCAGTGTTGCATCACCAGTTACAGAACAGAAGGAATGAGGAGCACACAGCAAAAGATAAGTAAGCAATAACTCGATACTGAAATAATATTGAACATAAACACTAACTTTGGCATGATTGAGAAGCAAGTTCAATAAAAAAAAATGGAGTTTTGACTTTCTAGGTAAAAGGAAAATGGTGAAGATCTTAGAAAATCAAAAAAACCAAGGCACTTTGGTCAATAGTTCAGAAAGTTTAAAAAGCCTTTATTTTCTCATGGCTGTAGATTAAAATACGCACCAACGCGTTTCAGCCTAGCTTGGGCCAAGAAGTGCCTTGGGTTTTTTGATTTTCTAAGATCTTCACCGTTTGCCTTTTACCTAGAAAGTCAAAAGTCCATTTTTTCAGTTCAACCCCTCGTCCAATCGAGCACCCGGTCTTTTAAAAAATTCTACACGCTTGTACCACGCAGCACTCCTTACCCTTTGTTTTTTTTTAGAATAGTAAAGAATCAAGTTTAAAATCTCTAACTTTACCATAATATAGAAACAAATACTGTATATTCTAGTGCAAGAAATAAATAGTTGTATGTTTACATCTGTTCATGTTAGCAGCACGAGTGTCTGGGACAAAGTCACTAATTAAAGTGACGGTGAGGATTCCTCTCTTGGATGGTGCAAATGAGAATAATTAGATTGATCTACCACATTGAAAATAATGTCATAAATACGGTCTTTAGTTGTTTAGATGCTTAACCGCTAAATTTTATATAAATTACGATGAGGAAATTAGCTAGTGTTTTTTGGGTGATTTTGTTAAAGTTTAGGTCAGATACATAACACAGGCACATCGTTTTGAGAGATTTTCCCCTTGACGAATGTGTTTATTTAGTTGAATTTTTGACACTAGCCCGTCAAAGTATCTACGTATTTTCTTTATGAGTTTTATTTGTATTTTATTGATCTAGAAAACCTACAGAATTGGGAGTGAGCAGTCTAACCGTGGAGGAAGTGGATGAAGGGAGTGAACCTGCAGAGTTTTGGAAAGCTCTGGGCTCACAGAACAAGAAAGCCTACGACTGCATGCTTCAGGGTACAGAAACACAGAAACACGTCCATTTGAAATACTTTAACTTTGCTGTTGGTTCTTTGATGATGTTGATATGCTTTTTTTTTTTGTCCAGATCCAGGGAAGTACAACTATACTCCTCGTGTGTTCCAGCTCAGTGCCAGCGCTGGGGCCTTCGAGGGCACAGAGCTGCAGTACCCGGCCAGGGCAGCAGAGGGCGTCATGGCCATGCCCTTCCTCCAGGAGAACCTCTACGCTGCCCAACAGCCAGGTCATTCATCTGACTCAAAACACACAATAGATACTGTGTACTTTGGAGACTGTGTTGACGTACAGAAAACTCAATTGAGTTTTTCACTTCTGCTGTTTTAGAATAAAGTCTGGACTTTATTGCAGTCGAACAGTGCAATAAACTCCTGGTTGTTCCTGGTTTATCCCTCCAGGTCTGACTATTATGTAAAGTTAGACCGGATGAGTAATTTTCAAAGATTAATGTCACGATTGATTCAATGCCATTGCTTAAAGATAACACTTTATTAACACTTGGGTTGAGTGGGCCATGGATCCGTTATATTACCTTTAAATCATGGATCTGTGGAAAGTATTACTGCGTCTCCATTTCACTGTTTCTTTCAAAGTTTTATCCGTCACATAAAGTCAGCTGGATCTTCCCTGAGTTTTTATCAAACATATGATTCTAAATAATAGAATATAAGCCTTAAACGCTAGTGACTCTGCCTAAAGTGTGTGTGTGGATTGTCATGTGACCTCTCTGCAGCCCTGTTCCTGCTAGACAACCGCATGGAGGTGTATCTGTGGCAGGGCTGGCAGCCAGATGACACCGAGTGCACAGGCTCTGCCAAAATCCGCTGGGACCATGAGAGGAAGTGCGCCATGGAGACGGTGCTGCAGTACTGCAAAGGTCAGACTGAAAGACACAAGAATCCAGCCGTATTTTAATGATATGTATACAGTATATCACTATACTTACTGATATTTATACTTATTTACAGAAAAGAATCCTCGTCGTCCTCCTCAGGCCTACCTTGTCCTTGCAGGATGTGAGCCTCTCACATTCACAAATATTTTCCCATATTGGGAGAAGAATGAGAATATTTCCTCAAAGGTAAAGACAGTTTTAATGCATGTGTTGTTATAATGGCTAAGTCTGTGAAACATGTTGCATTGTTTCAGAATCAGAGCCATAAGAACAAAGTGATCCTGGTCAAAGAGGCGCTGGCCAAGCTGAGTAAAGAGCAGTACTCCATCGAGGAGCTGACCCAGAAGCCACTGCCTGAGGGAGTGGACCCTCTGCGCCTGGAGGACTATCTGTCAGACGAAGACTTTAAGGTGAGACTCTTTGAAACGTTCATAAAGACTTTGTTGTTCACATGGTTCTGACACTTTTCAGACTCTTTTGGGGATGAGTCGAGTGGAGTTCAACGCCCTGCCAAACTGGAAACAACAGAACCTAAAGAAAAGCAAGGACCTCTTTTAGACTGTTGTAATTATATATCTATATATAAATATATATATAAATGCCTTTTTAAATAAAGTATTTTCTTATTTTTCTATTGTATAAACATGTACAATTGTATTGTGTTGTTTTTATTTGACTAATGATAGCCATTGTATTGTCACTTTGCTCAAACCTTTACCATTAATTATGTGCAATTACATTATTGTGTTATTATGTACCATAATGTTGAATCCTTCTTTGTTTGTATAACTGTGCATAGAAAGAGTATTTGGGAGAGGGTGTGTTTTTAAAGTTCCAATATGTACTAAAATAATATGATATGTTTGTTTTTTACACACTTTTGGGAGTCGCACAGTTACAGAAATATGAATTGTAGCCAATGTTATGTCCTGTTTTCTTTTAGACGCAGGACAAGTTTATTATGCATCTATTCTTTGGTACTAAATGGTGCCTCCCTCCATACAGTGGTTGAATGGGACCAATCCCAGCTGTGTGAAGTCATTTAGAGATGAATAAACACGTATACCAGTATGTATAAAGTATTATTGAGCTGCGCCTGCCTCTATAGCCACACATCATAACAAACATGTTTTCTCCTTGTAATCACAAACACTTTCGTAATGTGCATTGGGCTACCAGGCTTTTACTGCATTAACCACTTGAAAGCAAACAACGGTGGTGGCAGGGAAATATGCAAGGTCTTTGAAAACAGAATAAAAAAGGTGTGAAAAACATAAACCGTGCACTTATATTTTTTCATGCAAAAGATAACGTATTCTTTCTGTGTATAGAACAGAGATATTCTGCCTCTTGATTCACACTATGGCTTCTACATCTGAAACTTTTCCAGAATGTGAAGAAAATGTGTGTAGTATAAAATGAGCCATGATAGTGATCCTGAGTCCTGTGTCTGAAGATTGTAGTGTGAATATTATCACAGATTTAGTGCTTGGCTTGTCACAGTGTCCTCCGTGTCACTGAGACCCTGTGCTTCCCCAGTCTTCCCAAAACTGCATCTCCTCAACACACTGAGCATGATAGAAAGCCAAGTCCTTTTTTTTTACATTTACTTTTTCACACGTATAGATTGTTTTTTAGACCATTCATAATCCTTATAATTGGAATGAACCTGCATGACTTCAACGCACCACCAGGGGGTATTCTTTGTCCATTAATATTGCCAATTAAATCAAAGAATCAGAAACAATTAAATTAACAGTTAGTTTTTCAAAAACAAGTGCCGTTATAATAATAGTTAATACCCAAATTCCCAGAGCAGTCGATTTGACCGCTTTAGTTTTGGAAGTGTAATTACTCAATGTGTGTACCTTTATTATTTTACTAAATGTGTGGCTTGTTCCTGTATCCATCTATAGAGTATTTCTATGTCATTGTTTTTTATGAAATCATTTATTTTTAGATGTGATAAATTATAACTAACTCCCAGGGCAGGTACTAGCTAGTGCCAGTTACCATGGCAACACACTGTTTACCGTCAGCTGTTAGCGTTCAATAGCGTTTCAACAACGTTCTTTTTTCAAGTTTAATTCACTAGTTTTAGCATTTATTAAAAGTGAATAAAAGTAAAAAAAAAAAAAACGTTATAGATTATCTACTTTTAATAAAACTGGTTAAATCATAGACTGTGAATATTAAAGTGAAACTTGGGGAGAAATATGGGAGCAGTCAAAATGGCGTCATTCTTGTAGTTTCAGTGTAAGTAAGTAGTAAGTAAGTAATCTTTATTTACAGTATATACCGCCTTTTCACTGCACATCGGAGTCTCAAAGGGCTTACAATCATGGATGTATTATATTAACTGGATAGGGTGTTACTAGCTTGTAGCTGAATAACTCATGTGCTCAGGGGATTCTCGCGGTACTGCAGACTGAACCAGACTAAATTCACGTGGGCTACCCAGAAATTTTCCCCATAGAACTCAATGCATATTAAAACAGCTCGACCTCAGCTGACAGAGAACCTACAGCTTTAATAAAGATCGGATTTTGTGGGGATTTTAGTGTCCCTTGTCATCCTGAACTTTTTTTCTTCTTAAATCCTTCGGTTTTGTTTAAATCCACACTTTAGTGCCACAAACTCTACTCCTCTGGCTCTCGCTCTAACTCCCACTCTGATGAACTGCTCTGATTGGTCAGAGCGCGCCCGAGCCCCTCTGTGCACGTGCGTGAGACCTGGTGTGAGACCCACACACGCGTGTTTGGCGCAACGCATTATGGGAGATCATCCACTGCGCAGAACCGGGAGGACCAGACGATGCCCAAATACAGGCGAGTTTCCCATAGATCTTTGCGAGTTTCAGGCAACTTCCACTAATCTTTCAGTCCCCATGCTGTCACAAAGCGCCACTGAGCACAACCATTCATTTGAATAGGGCGCCATCTTGAATCGCCGGGGCTTGCTTACAATCCCTTACCAAGCTGTTTGTTGAAAGTCCAGATTTGTTTCAGTGCCATACAAATTATTGGCAGCAATTTCTTCAAGCAAAACATGTTGACGATTGAAGCCAAAATAACACAAGTCGTTAACCACTGTTCTTTTGTGCAATTTAACTCTTGAAATATTTATGGGTTTTTCAATTTTGTTAGTATTAATCATGCATTAATATATACATTAGTAATTAATTGGACACACCCAAAGCCTGCGCAAAGAATTCATTATTTTTCCCTTCACACGAGACTCAGGCGGCCGCACGTGTTCATATCATGGATCTATAATAATATCAGTTAATCCTCATACTGTATTTATTTCACCCAAGACACAAAACAACTCATAGATGATATTAGCAAGGGCTATACATCTTCAAAACGTGTGCGAGGAAAATGGAAAAACATAAAAACAAGAGAAATGCTGCCAAACTTTGATCCGACTGAGTTTTGAGAAGGAAAAGGAAAATGCCCGGAGGGGTTTAAACTCTGGTGGACTCTTGTGTAAGTAATATTTCATGAAGAAACCTCATTAAAACTTTTAAGAACGAGGAGGTATTGTAGAGGCAGCAGATTATGGATGTTCATAGCTTCAGGGATTATTTAATATTTAATTTGTTAAAAATCGCCCATGTTTTATCTTGTTTTGATGCAGTCTGTTTTTGACGTTATATCCAATTTCACATGTTACAAGATAGACTGTCTTTTCTGCTCTTAACCCTGTTTTCACAAATAATATATAAGAGTCAAGTAAAAAATATTTGGTCTTAATTTCAGTAGAAGCACATTCACATTTCCGTTGGCAAGACAAGTTTATATGTATAGCACAATTCATACACAAGGCAACTCAAAGTGCTGAGCAAAACGAGACACATAAACAATCACAATGTGTTAAAATCATATTTTATACAAAAAAGTATGTATGCACAGGTAAACAGACTGTGTTTAACCCTAATTTGAACATGGTCAGAGAAGAAGCCTGTCTCCCATTTTCAGGAAGACTGTTCTGAAGACTGTTCTGAATCTGAGATGCTGCCTCCCCATGTTTAGTTCTGACTCTGGGCACCAGCAGGAGGCCAGTCCCTGTGCTCCTCAGAGTCCGAGTTGGTTCATATGGGACCATCATGTCACTGATACTTTGTTGCGAGGCCATGGAGAGACATGAGAAAGAGCCCTGGGAGGCAGCACTTTGACGTTTTGGGTTGGGAGCAGACTGGCTAACCCTAATATACTAAAGCTAACCCTAACCCTAATACACTAACCCTAACCTTGATGCAATAAAACTAACCCTAACTCTAATAAACAAACCATTATCCAGTTACACTTACCCTAACCCTGATACAATAAGGCTAACCCTAATACACTTATAATAATAATACTAACCCTAACACTAATAAACTTAATATTATCCACACTACAGTAACTCTAAAACCAACTTTACATGCATGTGAAAACTAGTGATTGTACTGCTAGTAATTCAATCATTGTGTTAGCGTTAAGTTGGGTTTTGTTGTGGTTTGAGAGTTAGTTCCCCTTTGAGGTATGTTTGTGCCTTTCTTGTGTCTTAAAGAACTCTAGTTCAGACTGTTCTGTTGCTGTTCTCTTGCATCAGTCTAAGTTTTCTGCTACTTTCTCCTTTTCAGACAGTGGCTGATAATGGCCGGTTGATGGGAAAACTTCGTCAACTCTTGTAAGTTTTACAGATCTATGTGTTTAACTTTGTGCTTAGAGTATTGTGCATAACATAAAGAAATTAATTTATTCAATAGAGTTTAATTAATTTATTGTATCTGTAGTTTACGTCAGTGTTTTTCAACCTGTGGGCTGTGGTACAATGGGCTTTATGCACGGGGAGGCATGACGTCATTTCCGGTTAACAAAGCACAGCCCGTTCACTTCCTGCCTATGCTATCCTATGGCTTTTAGGTGGGTTTTAGTGATGTTTTTTGTGTCGCTGTGCTTTCTCTCTGAGGTAGAGCACTCAGAGAGATTTGTAAACTTTATAAAAACACAATGACAGCACAATCAAAGAGCACTGTTGTGTCCCAAAAATGCCCAGTATCCTCACAGTTTAATTCCCGTTTGAGCATTATTTGGGAAACTCATGTGTTTCACTGCTGAACTCCAGTGAAACTCAAGCCGTTTCCCGCGAACAGGAAGTGAAGTGGGGTAGTAGCTAAAACGCGGTGCGTGGTGCGTGCATAGAGCTCATACTGTGCCTTTGTCAGAATGTCAGACTATAACTATAAATGCTACAAATGTATAATCTATAAATGTAAATCACTTTAGGGGCCACTGAAAATAGCCTTGCGGGCCAGATTTAGCCCACGAGCCTGAGGTTGACATGCCTGCAGAACTTTTATTGCTCGATTCTTCATTATGCTAAAGTTGGAGATTTTAAGATTTATTTCCTTATTACTCTAAAGATAGAGATTGTATACTGCTTTTTTCATGCAAGAATGATAGATTTTCTCATTTTTTATTTTATCTTAGTAGCGTTGTTATTCATTTTTCTTGTGCTGTGTGCTCCTCATTCCAACACTGAAATTTCCCCCACTGTGTGACAAACAAAGA